GGTGCACCTTTCTTTCCCCCAGCAGCTGCTATCTCTCCTCACCTGCGCGCTCAAATTCTGTCAGGTAACGACATCTATCTAGTGAAAATTTTGTTATGAGCCGAAACTAACGAACGAAGGATTGTGGATTGTGGGGACGTATCAGTTGTTCTAAAAGATAGTGACCTAAGATTCACCAAGAGCTTAACCATGGCTGAGTTTAACGTCGCTTTTGGCGTGTTCAGAGATATCATCTGTGAAGCGTATCCAGAAAGAAGAAAGGAACTAGACACTTATCTAGCTAATATATCGGATCTCGCCATGTCCTACGGAGGAACACTTTTTTACGAATACCACAAGTCGTTTTCATCTAAAGCAGCAATGTACATACAATGCTTTAACCAGCGACTGGACTGGTCCGTAGTCGATCTTGCTCTCATTAGCAGGCACTTTACAGGCCACCGAGCGCTGTCATGCTCACTTTGCATCTCGTTTTCCCACACTGCATATCTCTGCCCTAAGACTGCTTCAACTCACGACACCAGCGCCTCGGCACCGGAACAGGTGATGCCTGAAAGACAAACTCCCCTTTGTTTTAATTTCAATGAGAATGTCTGTACTCGTAATAATTGTAAATTCTTTCATGCTTGCAGCTATTGCGGGAACAGTCACCCGAAGTTTTCATGTCCACGCCGTGCAAAATTCCAAAAAAAGAAATAAACACCCCGGTGAACACTAAAGAGCTAGGGGAAGCTCTGTCAAAGCATATCCAAACCGTTGTCTCGTATCTTATCTTATTTTAGGACTCATGCACGGTTTTCTAGCTGGTCTTTCCTATCTGCCCACATTTTCCTGCACCTGTCAAAACCTTCAGTCGGCTATCAAAGACCCACAGGCCGTAGACGAACTGCTGGGGAAAGAAATCGAAAAGGGTTATATGATTGGACCTTTCGATCCGCTCCCCACTCCACCGAAGGGATTCCAAGCATCAACAGTTTAATTCCCTCAGAACCTTTTTGCCTGTGTTATTCCACCGTGGACAACGCAATTAAACTCATTAAATTAGCCGGCAGAGGAGCGTGGCTCAGTAAAGCGGATATCACCGACGCATTCAAAATACTGCCCTTACACCCGTCCCAATGGCATCTTTTCGGCGTTAGTTGGCGAAGCAAATGTTACTTTTCAGTCAGACTCACATTCGGGTGTAAAAGCAGCCCCACAATTTTTGATACATTGTCCGAAGCACTCTGCTGGGTCCTACTTAATCATTTTAAACTGCAATTCGTTCTCCATCTGTTGGACGATTTTTTGCTCATCGACTTTCCGGACGCTAACCCATCGCGCAGCATAAATCTCCTGGTTAAAGCATTTAATAAATTCGGTATCCCCCTAGCAGAAGAGAAAACAAAAGGTCCTTCTCGCGTCCTTGATTTCCTGGGGATCACGTTAGATTCTATCAAAATGCAAGCATCTCTTCCGCTAGATAAACTAGTAAGGATTAGAGGTTTTATTAAATCGTATTCTCTATTAACTACCCTAACAAAAAGGGATATTCTTTCTCTGCTGGGGCATCTCAATTTCGCGATGAGGATCATTCCCCAAGGTCGTTCTTTTATTTCCAGACTCTTGGATCTTTCAAAAACGGTCGAGAAAATGCACGACATTTTTAAGATTTCAGATTTAATATTCTGGAACGGCATTTCCTCCTTCTACGAAGAAAATATAGAGACCTCAGTCAAACTAAATTTATTCACCGACGCAGCTCCTTCCTTAGGGTTCTGAGGGATATTTAATAATCAATGGTTCGCAGAAAGATGTCCAAAAGAACTTCAGGAACTAGCCCCCTCAATCCAATCGACAGCGCTCATGGAATTATATCCTATAGTGATGGCTAGCTTGTTATGGGCAGATAAATGGACCAGGAAAAATATTCTCGTTTTTTGCGACAACGAAGCTACGGTAAACATTATTAACAAAGGTCGTTCCTCTGTGCCGTTCATTAACCGATTCATTAGGCGACTAACCTGGATCTCGGTCATGAACAATTTTACCATTAAAGCCACTCACACACCCGGGCTGGATAATAAAATAGCTGACTCTCTGTCTCGGTTTAATTTTCAGGAATTCAGACGCCTGTGTCCGGGAGCTGCTTCATCACGACTGGGCTGCCCGGACTTCAGCCAAACAGTCTTAGATTAAATGCCTTACTACAAAAATATCTCAAATCAGCCGCTCATCACATGAGATCAGGGCTAGCAAAGACGACACTTAAAACATATGACTCAGTGTGGTTGTCTTTTTCAAATTTCTGCAACGCTTTACCCGCGCTTTACACCAGCCATTCATTTCGCATAGGCGCGGCAACCACCGCAGCTTCAACAGTGTCCATACCCATGCTAAAAGCCATCTTCGAGCCGTAAAAAAACATCTTCGAGCCGTAATACCTCCTCATGTTTGGGGGGGTTAATGCTAAAGCTACGTATGTCATTAATTATGGAGCAAGAACCCCCATAAGGAACCATACCGCCAAAGACAAATTGTGTTCAATAAACTCAAGTAAACTTGCCAAAGTGGTCTCGTCTGAAATGGCAGTCGTGTTGTAACTGATTTCCTGTTCTATATATTTTTCTATTTATGTTAATAAATATTGTTTAAAACCTGACCAACTTCACTATGTCCTCCACTCATTTGTCACGGCTTTGAGCCGGCCGTGACACAGATGTTGGGTTTTGTCCTTCTGCTGGTGTGGAGGCAGAGGTGCGGATATTTTTACCAGGACTAAATTAGTTGAGCCATAAACTCTTGACAGAACAAGAGCTGAGTATATGTGATTCAAGCACAATTTGACTTTTACAGACATTTAAAACATTAAAGTGATATTTATGTTTCAGTTTTTAAAGTAATATTATTTCTGTGTGATATGTGTGCGGTATGTCACTGCAGTATAATAATAATAATAATCTGTTACAGAACACAAACTTTGTCCAAAAATTCCCTATGGCTGCATTTACACTGAAAGGCTTAATATGCAGCTTTAGTGAGCCGTGCCGAGCCGTACCATGCAGTGGAAAAGCGCCATTAAATATCAAAATAAAGATGTTAGAAATGCTCTTGTTCTTTTCCCACTTGCATGTCGTTTATTATACTGCAGTTCACTGATTCTGAACTCAAGTGAATAATGATTTCTCATTCATGTCCCTCACATCAGTCTGGAGTTTAGCACTAAACGGATATTCAACCTGTGTGTTCTGCTTGACATCTCAACATTTAACATGTCTAAACTCAGTCATTCTGGAGTTGTTAATGACATACAATTTGTGAAAGAATTAGATATTTATGAAATATCCAACAAGTAAACATGTATATCAACAGCACAATTCCAGTGTAATATTGCTTTTACAAACAGTTCAATGAACAAGAAACTAATAGTAAATGATGTTTTACACACAGCATTGCCAGTTATTTCTGTTTTTGCTCGAGCAGTGAAAACTAAGCCACAGGAGAATTAACCAATCATCATCAGATCAGCTACGACACACAACCAAAAGCATTGTGGTATTGCCATGTGTTTTGTACAGAATTATTGATCAATAAAGCACACAAGGTGGTTTTCAGCTTTAGCTCTTTAATCTCTGTCCGTATATAATACATTCACAATTCGAGTGCGATTGTATTTTCAATGCAGTGACCACATATACGTCAGAGATTTCTCTAACTAGTAATTTAAAGAGAATAATCAAAGAATCTCAGCATAATGCTGTATTGGTCTGAAAGAGCCATCTGAGTTAAATTACAATGCACTTTCCAAAAAAGATTTTATATATCAGTTAGTTTTTAGGGAGTAACACATTACTTTTAAAAGTAACGTTCCCAATACTGCTGTCATTTACGTGTCTATATGACTGATATCATTAACAGCTTATGTCACATTATGTGTTTAATGCAAAAGGTCTTTTCAAACATCCATTGGAAAACATGTACAGTATATATTTACATTTGAATGGTTATAAAAGAAAAATAATGATCTGAAAGCTGTCTTTGTTTAAATTAAATAGTATCATTTCATCCCATATTAAATTATTTTGTGTTCCCAAAACAAGGATTGTGTTTGACTTTAGGAGCTGAATGAGCAGAACCTTCTCAAGTTTAGAGCAAGTGGTGTCTGTGATTCTCTGAGGTGGATCTGTTTTCCAGAGTAAATGAGTTTCTCTCCGAGCAGAAGCAGTTCAGAAGCCTCGAGTGCTTCCATGCCCCACATTCCCAACTTAGCTGTGTGTTTTCACCAGCTGCCGGGTTTGGAGATGAGCTGAGGGTATTTATAGACACATGGAGAGCAGAGGAGGAATGTGTTGCTGTGATTAACTCTCTTGGTGTTAGGAATAAAGTTTATTGTTCAATGTTGGGTCAAATTTGAATCAATTGCTTCTATAGAGCATAAAACAATCTTTAAATGTGAATCTCTCTTTGTCTGACGGATAAAGTGGTGTGATGAACCCAGGGAACAGCAACACATGTAAACTGAGAAACTAGATCTAAATAGATTAACATACATTATTACAAGTAGTTATTGCTCTACTGGTTCTTAATGTTATTGTGAGCGTCTGGGTGAAGTTTCCAACACAGGGTTATCTCAACCAAAATATCTAAGATTATTAGGGATAGGCATTTGTGTACAGTTAGTAAAAGATGACAAAATGCACACAAACTGAGCACTTGTAGGCAGTTGAGGTTTATTGAGAGGTTTCAGGCATGAGGTCAGAAGCAGCGAGACAGACTCTCAGTCTATTATTGACTCAGTCTCTCACACGAGCTTCACCAGTCCTGTGGTCTCTGTGGTCTCTCTGTGTGTTCTCTGTGTTCTCTGGTCTCAGTGGTCTCTCTGTGTGTTCTCTGGTCTCTCTGGTCTCAGTGGTCTCAGTGGTCTCTCTGGTCTCTCTGTGTTCTCTGGTCTCAGTGGTTTCAGTGGTCTCAGTGGTCTCTCTGGTCTCTCTGTCTTCTCTGGTCTCAGTGTTCTCTGGTCTCTCCGTGTTCTCTGTGATGGAGGACTCTTGTCCCGCGACGAGCATCGACGGCCTCCAGCAGCACACCGAGATCTCGGCTGAATCTGAGCTTCCCCGCCGCAGCGATGTCAAAGTCTACAAGGAGTTCTGCGACTTCTACGTGCGATCGTGAGTCTGCCGCTTCAACTGCTTCTGCATATTCACTAAAATATACTCATACTCAACTATACACTACTCAATTGTGGTTGACTCTTGTATGATAGAGAAAAGCGACTACTAAGTCTAAATATAAATATAGTGTCTTGAAAGCAGATTATTAGAACATTTTGTTTCCATGTTTAGTCACTGGCCATGGCTGGCTTTTACATGAATCTTCAGCAGTAAATCTGTAAATCCTGTGATCATCTGACTGTGTGTGCTTTTACAGTAACTCTGAGCTGACGATATACATCATGTTCTTGAGCTCAGAAAGAGTGGAAATACAGTGATTGACTGATTGATTGCATTACCGATAGCCAAACCCATCCCCTTTACTCGTTTACTTTTGTCTGCTTCGTGAATTGTTTTATGTTTCAGTTGCTTTACAGTTTAATTACAGTTTGTTAAAAAGCTCAAAGCTAATATGCTGACGGCGTGTCATGCTGTCAGTCAACATGTACACTTTTCTCTGGGTAATAACATGGTAAATGACAGTTAGTCTGAAGCCGGTCGCTCACAGATGAGGTATTTAACCTTTCTTTTTTTTTAAATCCGTTAATTGTGCCGAGGCTTCTGCTCTCATTCGCTTCAAGTTATCTCCCTTTGTTATTCTTCTGGTTATTTCCCTGTAGCGACTGATGAATCAGAAGTCTCACGCATTCTCAAGTTCAAGTACAAAACTGGAAATCTAATAACTATATTCTACATGCAAAAACCTTTTCAGACATTAAGAGGCATCAATGAGTCTGAAGTTTGTAAATGTAAAGAGAAAGTGTGATCTGAACTGCTATATTTCTCTATGAAGCACAGACTTTATTTAGGCAGCTCAAAGACATTTTTTTACTGAAAAAGGCACAATATGTAATCTTTCAGCTGAGGACTCAACATCCAGACGGACTGAGAAACAACTGATCAGTTCAGGACAGTGTTTTCCCTTTCATGTGCAGTGTGTATGAGACGCTGAGACTAGTTCACGCTTCGCAGCCATATATGCAGATCCACATGCCAGAGATGTTTCTGCATGTCTGAGCTTCACACAGAGCCACATATAGACAAACAGCTGTAATATTCTTCATACTCTCGGCCTAGTGTGTAGTGCTTTAGTGGATGCTTTCATCCAGTGACTCTTTACAGGGAGACATAGGAAACGGGCGTAGGAAACGGACATAGGAAACGGACATAGGAAACGGACATAGGAAACGGACATAGGAAACGGACATAGGAAACGGACATAGGAAACGGCGTAGGAAACGGACATAGGAAACGGACATAGGAAACGAACATTGGAAACAGGCGTAGGAAAGGAACATAGGAAACAGGCATAGGAAACAGGCATAGGAAACAGGCGTAGGAAAGCGGACATTGGAAACAGGCGTAGGAAACGGGCTGAGGAAACAGGCGTAGGAAACGGGCGTAGGAAACGGACATAGGAAACAGGCATAGGAAACGGACATAGGAAACGGACATAGGAAACAGGCGTAGGAAACGGACATTGGAAACAGGCGTAGGAAACGGGCGTAGGAAACGGGCGTAGGAAACGGGCGTAGGAAACAGGCGTAGGAAACGGACATAGGAAACAGGCGTAAGAAACAGGCATAGGAAACAGGCGTAGGAAACGGACATAGGAAACGGACATAGGAAACAGGCATAGGAAACGGACATAGGAAACGGCGTAGAAAACGGGCGTAGGAAACGGGCGTAGGAAACAGGCATAGGAAACAGGCGTAGGAAACAGGCGTAGGAAACGGACATAGGAAACAGGCGTAGGAAACGGACATTGGAAACAGGCGTAGGAAACGGGCGTAGGAAACAGGCATAGGAAACAGGCGTAGGAAACGGACATAGGAAACAGGCGTAGGAAACGGACATTGGAAACAGGCGTAGGAAACGGGCGTAGGAAACAGGCATAGGAAACAGGCGTAGGAAACGGACATAGGAAACAGGCGTAGGAAACGGACATTGGAAACAGGCGTAGGAAACGGGCGTAGGAAACAGGCATAGGAAACAGGCGTAGGAAACGGACATAGGAAACGGACACAGGAAACGGACACAGGAAACGAACATAGGAAACGGGCATAGAAAACAGGTGTAGGAAACGGACATAGGAAACGAACATAGGAAACGGACATAGGAAACAGACATAGGAAACGGACATAGGAAAGGAACATAGGAAACGAACATAGGAAATGGACATAGGAAACGGACATAGAAAACAGGCGTAGGAAACAGGTGTAGGAAACGGACATAGGAAACAGACATAGGAAACGGACATAGGAAACGAACATAGGAAACGGACATAGGAAACGGACATAGGAAACGAACATAGGAAACGAACATAGGAAACGAACATAGGAAACGGACATAGGAAACAGGCATAGGAAATGGACATGGGAAACAGGCATAGGAAACGGACATAGGAAACAGGCGTAGGAAACAGGCATAGGATACGGACATAGGAAACAAGCGTAGGAAACGGACATAGGAAACAGGCGTAGGAAACGGACATAGGAAACAAGTGTAGGAAATAGGTGTAAGAAACAGACATAGGAAACGGACATAGAAAACAAGTGTAGGAAACGGACATAGGACACAGACATAGGAAACAGGCGTAGGAAAGGAACATAGGAAACGGACATAGGAAACGGGCGTAGGAAACAGGCATAGGAAACAGGCGTAGGAAACGGACATAGGAAACCGGCGTAGGAAACGGACATAGGAAACAAGTGTAGGAAATAGGTGTAAGAAACAGACATAGGAAACGGACATAGGAAACGAACATAGGAAAGGAACATAGGAAACGGGCATAGGAAATGGACATAGGAAACAGGCATAGGAAATGAACATAGGAAACGGACATAGAAAACAGGCGTAGGAAACAGGTGTAGGAAACGGGCATAGGAAATGGACATAGGAAACAGGCATAGGAAATGAACATAGGAAACGGACATAGAAAACAGGCGTAGGAAACGGACATAGGAAACAGACATAGGAAACGGACATAGAAAACAGGCATAGGAAATGGACATAGGAAACAGGCATAGGAAATGAACATAGGAAACGGACATAGAAAACAGGCGTAGGAAACAGGTGTAGGAAACGGACATAGGAAACAGACATAAGAAACGAACATAGGAAACGAACATAGGAAACGAACATAGGAAACGTCTCGGGTTATGACTATAACCCTTGTTCCCTGAGAAGGGAACGAGACACTGCGTCGAGAATCGACTCTTTGGGGACGCTCCCTTAGCGTGCGCCTCTGAAGTATGAATGAAACTATTCCAATCCTGATTGGTGTTGCGTCATGACGTAACATGTGACGGCATAACCGGATGCATAAAAGCTACGCCGGAACAAACACAAACTAGCCTAGCGATGAAGCAAGCCGCTCTCAGGCCTTAAGGGGCGTGGCAGAACGACGCAGTGTCTCGTTCCCTTCTCAGGGAACAAGGGTTATAGTCATAACCCGAGACGTTCCCTTTCGAGGGAACTTAACACTGCGTCGAGAATCGACTCTTTGGGGAACGAGTGCCCACTAGGCCACGCACCGAATAGGCCTGTCCCGGAGTAAAACTGTCTAGGCACTCAGCGAGGACTGAGCACGTGTGCACCAGGCGTACTAGGAAGGTGGAGACTGTAGAACCTAATAAAAGTATGTGGAGTAGCCCAACCGGCTGCCTCACAGATCTCCTGTAGGGGTACTCCCGAAAGAAGGGCCCTAGAGGAAGCCATGCCTCTAGTTGAATGAGCCCTCACGGCTAAAGGTGAAGGCAAGTTGCGCACCTTGTAAGCCTCAGTAATAGCTTGAACAATCCAATTACTAATAGTCTGCTTGGATGCCGGGAGCCCCTTCTTAGGTGACCCAAAACATACTAATAATTGGTCCGACCTTCTCCAAGAAGAGGACCTCTGAAGGTACACGCTCAAAGCTCTGACGGAGCAGAGCAAATGAAGCTTCTCTTCTTCTGCCGACACATGAGGTGGAGGATGGAATGCCTGAAGGACTGTAGACCGAGGCGTATTAGATGGAACTTTAGGCACATAGCCCGGACTCGGGTGCAAAAAAGCTTTTACTCTGCCAGGGGCAAACTCTAAGCAAGCTGGTGTCACTGCCAGGGCTTGGAGATCTCCCACCCTCTTAAGAGAGGTAATAGCCAAGAGAAATACCACTTTTAGCGTTAAGTCCTTAGGCGAAGCCGACTGCAAAGGTTCGAAGGGGGCCAGGGATAACCCTTCAAGAACTATTGCCAGGTCCCAGGTAGGAACCCTGGACCTGGTTGTCGGTCTCATCCTCCGAGTACCACGGAGAAACCGAATGACCAACTGGTGCCTCCCCAGAGGCCCCTCACTCAATGGTGCATGGAAAGCCGCAATGGCAGCCACGTACACCTTAAGTGTGGAAGGGGAGAGACCCGCAGAGAAACGATTTTGAAGAAACTCCAGAACTGAAGCCACTGGGCAGTTAACTGGATCTAACTCCTGTTCTCTACACCAAGCGGAAAAAACATTCCACTTGAGGCAATATAATCTCCTAGTAGATGGAGCCCTAGAACTAAGTATGGTTTCAACCACTCCGGCTGATAGACCAGCATCTAGGTACTGAACCCCCTCAGAGGCCAGACCCACAGCTTCCACAGCTCTGGGTGAGGGTGGAAGACTGTGCCCTCCGCTTGAGACAACAGATCCCTCCTCAGAGGAATCTGCCATGGCGGAGCTATCAGGAGTGATATTATGTCTGAAAACCATACTCGGGTCGGCCACCTTGGGGCAACCAGAAGTAAACTGATGCCCTCCTGACGGACCCTCTCCAGGACTCCCGGAAGCAGAGCGATCGGGGGAAAAGCGTACAGGCGAAGCCTCGGCCAGGCCTGTACCATGGCATCCAACCCCAGTGGGGCTGGATGTGAGAGGGAGAACCAAAGTGGACAGTGGGACGTCTCTCGAGACGCAAACAGGTCCACTTCCATCGGTCCAAACCTCTCCCATATTAACTTCACCACCTCTGGGTGAAGTCTCCATTCCCCGGGCCTCAGCCCCTGCCTCGACAGGATGTCTGCTCCCTGAATCTGAACCCCCGGAATATACATTGCTCTGATAGACAGTATTTTCCCCTGGGACCAAAGAATAATCTGATGCGCCAGTCTGCACAGAGGGCGCGATCTGAGTCCCCCTTGTCGGTTCAGATAGGCTACCACTGACGTATTGTCTGATCGTACTAATACATGGTGACCTTTGATGTCTGGGAGGAAGCTCCTCAGAGCCCTGAACACAGCCATCATCTCCAGGCAATTTATATGCCAAGAATGATGATGGTCCTGCCACAGACCCCTGGCAAAGCGGCCGTCTATGACCGCGCCCCAGCCAGTGAGGGAGGCGTCTGTCGAAACGGTTTTCCGGCGACAAGACACTCCCAACACTGGCCCTTGGGACAGGAACCAAGGTTTCTTCCATATTTGTAGAGAACGAAGGCATCTGCGCGTTACTCTGATCATACGAAACGGATTTCCCTTGGGAGAAAACCCCTTGGTTTTTAACCACCACTGAAGGGGCCTCATGTGTAGAAGGCCCAAAGGAATGATGTTGGATGCCGCTGCCATGAGGCCCAGCATTCTTTGAAATTGCTTTACAGTGATGGCTTGGCCTAGCTTTAACCTGGATACCATCCCCAGAATTGACTCGATACGTGCGGGAGACATTCGTGCCTGCATCGTAATCGAGTTCCACACGACTCCCAAAAACATCGTGCACTGGGATGGTTCTAGCACACTCTTCTTTGTATTGAGTCTCAACCCCAATTTCTGAATGTGGCCAAGGACGACATCTCGATGCCGAACCGCCATCTCCCGAGACTGAGCCAGAATGAGCCAGTCGTCGAGATAATTCAATATACGAATGCCTTGAAGTCTCAGTGGAGCAAGGGCTACATCCATACATTTGGTGAATGTGCGGGGAGAGAGTGCTAGGCCGAACGGAAGAACCCGATATTGGTAAGCTTCGCCCCCGAAAGCGAACCTCAGGTATCTCCTGTGACATGGAAGGATGGAAATGTGAAAATAAGCGTCTTTTAGATCTATCGTGACAAACCAGTCCTCGGACCTGATCTGACTCACGATTGCAGGAATGGTTAGCATTTTGAACCTGAACCTCCTCAGAGACCGGTTCAAAACCCTGAGATCTAAAATTGGCCTTAACCCCCCATCCTTCTTTGGAACTATAAAGTACCGGCTGTAAAACCCGGACTCCCTGTCTAAAGGATGAACACGTTCTATGGCTTCCTTTAGCAGCAGAGTCTGTACCTCCTGTTCCATCACCTGAGCCTGCTCTGGAACCACTGTAGTCTGCACTACCCCTGAAAACCTGGGGGGGCAGCGCGCGGACTGCAGTCTGTACCCTGATTTTATTATATGCAGGACCCATGCAGATATGTTGGGAAGATGATACCATGCCTCTACAAAATCTACTAGGGGTACCAGCCTCTCGAGACTGGCCTCTGGTGTTTTTGAGCATCTTTCTCGACTCCCTGAAGCGGAATACCGGCAGGGTGTAGTCGATACGGCTTTTGTGACCATAATTGATGCTTTTTCTTTATTAGAATATTTTCTCTGGAAAGAGATGCGGCCCGAAGCGTCGTTGACGGCGGGCAACATACATCGTTTCCTAGAGGGCTCCGCTGCGAGAACAACCTCGGTTGCCCTACAGCGGAGGGGACAGCCCTCAGAGGTCCTACCACTTCGGTTAGGACCTCTTCCCCGAAGCCCTCCTATCCTGAATGACGTCCCTCAGGTCGCCCTTCTGGTTGGAGGACTTCGACTTTTGAGAGTGTTTCCTCTGTTGCCAAGCTCCAGGAGGAGGGGCTCTAGAGGAAACGCTCTCTCTCTGCTCTGCTCGGTGTGAGGAGCCGGCTGATGGCTGGGGCTGATCTTTTGGCCCCACCCTACTCGATTTGGATTTTGCCTTACGGGGGAGGTACTGCTGGAACGCCGCAGATTGTTTCTTCACCTCCTGAAACCTGTCGACGACCGATGTAACGGCGTCGCCGAACAGGCCAGAAGGTGATAGCGGCACATCCAGCAGAAAGGATCTATCTTTTTCCTTCATGCCAGATAAATTTAGCCACAGATGTCTCTCCGTGGCCACCATAGCTGCCATAGAGCGGCCAATAGCGCGGGCCGTCTCTTTTGTGGCCCGAAGAGACAGATCTGTGGCTCTCCTTAACTCCGCAATATCTTCAGGAGTTGGCCCCTCCCCCTCATCCAAATCTTTCAGGAGGTCGGCCTGGTATGCCTGCAAGAGTGCCATAGAGTGCAGACATGAACCAGCCCGACCTGCCGCCATGTAAGCCCTGCCTATTAATGCAGATGTATCTCTGCAGGGCTTACTAGGCAACGCCGGGGTTTTTAGGGAAGATGCCGACTCAGGAGAAAGATAACCCGCTAAAGCCTCTTCCACTTTAGGCATCTTCCCATAACCCATATCCCATGCCCCCATAACATTACTGTAATCTACCATACTGGGATTGGAGACACGGGATGAGTGCGGTTTATCCCACGATCTCGAAATCTCTTTGTGGAGATCGGGGAAAAACGGCAAACCCCGGCGCTGAGGTTGCGATCTGTGCTGCAGGAAACGCTCATCAAGCTTGCTTCTCACTTGCGTTCCCTGCTCATCATGTGGCCAGCTGATGTTAAGTCTGGCCACAGCACGAGTCACAACCTCCACCAGCTCCTCATAACCTTGGCCGTGAACTGGCGCGCCTAGATCACGATCATCCGCATCAATGCTGAGCACATCTACTTCCTCGGAAGCAGAGAGCTCAAGCATCGGGACCTGATCATGGGCAGGAGAAGCCGCGATGCGGGCTCCTGCACCACTCTCAGAGGCTACGAGATCCTCAGATGAAGAGTGAGAAGGTGCCTCAGCAGTCTCAATCTCATCCACAAGATCCCGCTGCGAACCCCACGATCTCAATCGCCGCGCCGCCTCAACGGACGCGGGACCAGAACCATGGGGAACGCGAGCCTGACCGTGCTCATCAAAGCACGCCAGCCGGGAGCGCAGCACTCTAATGGGAAGTGCTTCACAGTCTACACAAGCAGCTCCCTCGAGAGCTGCCCGTGCATGCTGCGCTCCCAAACAACTCACACATAAAGCATGTGTGTCCCCACCCGTGATGAAACGAGGGCAGGGAGGCACACAAGCTTTGAATTGTTCGCTGGCCATAATATACAATATTTTCTGACAAACAACACCAAATAAGACAGACAGTTTTCAACACAGAGCGCTTGCTGAAGAGCGAAAGCTAGTTTGTGTTTGTTCCGGCGTAGCTTTTATGCATCCGGTTATGCCGTCACATGTTACGTCATGACGCAACACCAATCAGGATTGGAATAGTTTCATTCATACTTCAGAGGCGCACGCTAAGGGAGCGTCCCCAAAGAGTCGATTCTCGACGCAGTGTTAAGTTCCCTCGAAAGGGAACGGACAGAGGAAACAGGCATAGGAAATGGACATAGGAAACAGGCATAGGAAATGAACATAGGAAACGGACATAGGAAACAGGCGTAGGAAACAGGCATAGGATACGGACATAGGAAACAAGCGTAGGAAACAGGTGTAGGAAACGGACATAGGAAACAGACATAGGAAACAAGCGTAGGAAACAAGTGTAGGAAATAGGTGTAGGAAACAGACATAGGAAACGGACATAGGAAACAAGTGTAGGAAACGGACATAGGAAACAGACATAGGAAACAGGCATAAGAAATGGACATAGGAAACAGGCATAGGAAACGAACATAGGAAACGGACATAGGAAACAGGCATAGGAAACAAGCGTAGGAAACAGGCGTAGGAAACAGACATAGGAAACAGGCGTAGGAAACGGACATAGGAAAGAGGCGTAGGAAAGGAACATAGGAAACGGGCGTATGAAACGGCGTAGGAAACGGACATAGGAAACAGGCATAGGAAACGAACATAGGAAACAGACATAGGAAACAGACATAGGAAACAGACATAGGAAACGGACATAGGAAACAGGCGTAGGAAACGGACATAGGAAACGGACATAGGAAACAGGCGTAAGAAACAGGCATAGGAAACAGGCGTAGGAAACGGACATAGGAAACAGGCATAGGAAACGAACATAGGAAACAGACATAGGAAACAGACATAGGAAACGAACATAGGAAACAGACATAGGAAACGGACATAGGAAACAGGCATAGGAAACGAACATAGGAAACAGACATAGGAAACAGACATAGGAAACAGACATAGGAAACAGACATAGGAAACGGACATAGGAAACAGGCATAGGAAACAGACATAGGAAACGGACATAGGAAACAGACATAGGAAACAGACATAGGAAACAGACATAGGAAACAGACATAGGAAACGGACATAGGAAACAGGCATAGGAAACAGACATAGGAAACAGGCATAGGAAACAGACATAGGAAACGGACATAGGAAACAGACATAGGAAACTGTGCTCGCCACCTCTCACACACACGCCCCTAATAACAAATACATCATTAAACCATGCATGGCATCTGTTAGAGAGCAATAAACCAGGCGACTCACCAGGCAAAAGCGTCAGGAATTAGAAGCCGATAGACCTTTACGGCCCACAGAACATGAACACACGTAGAGGGAGAATGACATGGCCACACTTAGACGTGCTTCTTATAAAGCCTCTAGAACCTGCCTCAGGGATTGCGCCGCACAGGTGTGCTCAATGTCCAGACGCCAGTGGCCGTTTCTTTCCATTTGAGAGGTACACAACCATTGAGATGTAAAAACTAATTCTGATGAACCAAAAGTCAGAGAAAATATTAAAAACACTGAACCTGTCACATAGAATAGTATTTTGTAATCAGAAGATGAACCTCTGTCTCCACAGCAACATGACGAATGCGCTGGCCCACGCGGTGTGTGAGCGCTGTAAGGCCGGCTTCACGGCGACGGAGAGGATGGTGAACAGTAACGGCGAGCTGTTCCACGAGCAGTGCTTCGTCTGCGCGCAGTGCTTCCAGCAGTTCCTGCACGGCCTCTTCTATGAGGTCAGACACCGCCGTTACATGTTTCTATCTGTGTGAGGATATGATGCCATCTCCAGCCTCTATATGAACTGATGGCAGCAAGAGATGCTACAGTACTGCTATATCAACTCGCACTTAGACAAAAGATATTTGTTCTAGACCTGACATCATGTGCTTTACAGACATTTCATTTCAACCATATTCAGATTTTGTCAAACCAGTCAAACCAGTCATTTGTCTGTGAAGTCTCTAAAGAGACTCGAATGCTATAACGCACTGAGGCCAGCAGAAACACGAATTGCTTTATAGTCCAGTTATATGTGTCAGCCTGAAGTGTCAGCAGAGATTGTGTGATCTAGACTCTCCCCTGTAAGGCCTCATCGACCCGACAGCCATCGCCACTGATCCTCAACAGACTCGTCTCCATACCGGCGTGACTCCGATCTTCAGCCAGAGGGAACTGGATAATATTCTGAATGTTCTGATCCAATCTGACCTCTGACCTGTAATGCCTGAATCATAATCACACACTTCGCTCGTTGGCCAGAGGAGAACTGAGACTGAGTCTGGGTTCTCCCAAGGGGTTTTCTCCATTCTGTCACTGATGGAGTTTTGGTTCCTTGCTGTCGCCTTTTTCCATCTTTGTTGACATTGGCTTTTGGCTTGCTTAGTTGGGGAAATTTAATTTAATATTCAGCAATATTATTGATCTCCTGCATTGACACCATTACATGAGAACTGAACTGAGCTGGACGATGACATCACGCTTTTCTCCAGAGCGGCTATATATATAAATGAACTAAATTAATAACTTTTTTACAACAAAAATGAACCATCACTGAACTTCATTAAGCTGGACCGTGATGATATTTTCTTCTGGAAACAAACTTTGTTGCATTATTTTCCAGTCATCTCTGTAAAGCTGCTTTGAAACACTCTGTGTTGTAAAAAGCGCTATATAAATAAATGTGACTCGACTTGACATGTGAAAATGATGTTCACTTTTTCATAAAAGCATGAATCTTGGTACACTTTAATAGTTTGCGGCCCTGAACATTCAATAAAATGTTTTTTTTTTTATCATTGACGCACCCGGGAACATTGGAAAAATGGCAACGTTCACTCAAACCCAAGTAGTGAAGTCGACTATTATAATATGTGCTACAGAACAATAGTCCATATAACTCGCCGTGAGTTTTAAAATCTTGTCTAAGACATTAATGATGGAGTCATGAATCTGTACTGAACAGTAGGAACACCCAGGTGTTTTCTGTGACGTGTGACGTGTGTATCCTTCTCTTGCTTTTGCAGTTTGAAGGCAGAAAATACTGCGAGCATGACTTCCAGATGCTGTTCGCTCCCTGCTGTCACCAGTGCGGTGAGTAAACACACACTACTCAAACACAGTCCTGAATAACTAGCCCGACTTCCCCCATCGTTTCAGCACTGGTGTGTGATGTGTGATTGGTCCTGTGCGCAGGCGAGTTCGTCATTGGCCGTGTGATAAAGGCCATGAACCTCAGCTGGCATCCCGACTGTTTCTGCTGTGATCTCTGTCAGGCCGTTCTCGCAGACGTGGGCTTTGTGAAGAACGCAGGCAGGCGAGTCTCAGATAACACAATAGGGCATTGAATGTAAACATGAATGTGATTTGAAATTCAAATTCAGCAAATGTAATTCTGCCCGCCAGACATTTGTGCCGTCCGTGTCATAACCGTGAAAAGGCTCATGGTCTGGGGAAGTACATCTGCCAGAAATGCCAAGCCATCGTTGAAGATGTTCCACTGATTTTCAAGAACGATCCGTACCATCCTGACCACTTCAGCTGCAATAACTGCGGGTGAGGAAACGTTCTGCAAGCACACCAGCGACTGGACGGATGAGAGTTTCTCATTTTGCAGATAAACAGGAGTCCTGGCCCCGCCCCTTTATTCTGCGCATTAATTAATATAATGAGGAATATTGTGACGTGTTCGTTCCCGGGAGAAACTCAAGACTACAATGGAGGTGTTTCAGGAGTTCAGGAACACTGACACTGATATAGAGGAGAACTCCCGCTGGAGGGACTTTGGAGCTTTTTCAGGCTCAAACAGCAACATTACAGACTAACATTACAGACTAACATTACAGGCTGAGGAAAGATGAACATGGAAATAATAGGACCAAATCTAACATAATTGGACCTTTTTAAGGGTTCTGCCCCAGTGACGAGCTGTTGTATCCAATAGGATCAATTCTGAGAGCGTAATAATAAGTATAGCACCTCTCTAGAGCTCAAGGTTGTGTGTGTGTGTGTGTGTGTGCAGTAAGGAGCTGACGGCGGACGCCAGGGAGCTGAAAGGCGAGCTGTACTGTCTGCCGTGTCATGATAAGCTGGGTGTGCCGATCTGCGGCGCCTGCCGGAGACCCATCGAGGGCCGCGTGGTCAATGCCATGGGCAAACAGTGGCACGTGGAGGTATTTCAGCACAGCGTTTCATCTAAAGAATGCCCACAATATATTCTGATCTTTGAATGATTAATCATCATTGATGCTTTAAACTCTAACGTGGGACCATTACCTCTTTCTTTCATGCACATGTGTGTTTGTGTGTTTGCAGCATTTTGTGTGTGCTAAATGTGAGAAAGCGTTTCTGGGTCACCGGCACTATGAGCGTAAGGGCTTGGCGTACTGTGAGACTCACTACAACCAGGTACAGTACGGAAATTAGCTCAGTTTGATTAATCTTCATTACACTTTTGCAGAATAAATACAAAGCTTGAATGTAGTGAAATATTCAATATACCAAGATCAGGACAGGAAGATATCAATATCAGCATTAATGGAACAGATGCTTGCTGTCTTTTCAGTTTATAAGGCATTTTACTTCAAATCATTGTTGGAAAACTGTAGTAACTTTTAAGGATGTTCAGATTTCCCATGAAGCATTTAAAATGTGAAAGCAGTGATCAAGTCAGTGTACAGAAGACTACTGAGACACACTGGTGTCTACAACAGCTGGACACAGTCCCAGATGTTCTCCTCATGATCTGAATGTGTGTGTCACATCTGTCTTCCAGCTCTTCGGAGACATCTGCAACCACTGCAACCGCGTCATTGAGGGAGACGGTGAGACGGTTTGCTATAAACACTTAAACACAAATGTATAATGATCTCAGGATTTCTAACTCACGTGTATGCTTGATTCTCTCTGTTGTCTTTTAGTTGTGTCTGCACTGAATAAGGCCTGGTGTGTCAAATGCTTCAGCTGCTCCACGTGCAACTCCAAGCTGACACTCAAGTGAGAACCATTACTAACTTGTTTGCTGGGAAGAAATGCATCGAATTAAAACATTCACATTTGAATCATACAAACCATGTTAAATTAATCAGGGACATTGGGGCTAGTTGTCACTTCAGTGGATATTTCTTATGGTAGTTTCAAATCCATTTCTGAACAAGCACAATCCACATAGTTGGCATGAAATCACAATCGACCTTTTGTGTGTTTCTTAATGTGTGTTACTGGTTTAATTGTGAATAATTCCTCCATGCATATATAGATTTTGAACTCGTAATCATTAATGAAAGTGTCATAGTTTTTCTCTGTGCAATCAAGCCAAACACATATGGTCCATTTTCATAATTTAGTCAACAACAGAAGGATAAAATCAAGGCTAGGGTCATGTTTTTTCTTCTTTGATAAGCCGTTTCACTTGTTACTACATTACAATATTGTAGTTGCAAAAGGTGAGGAAACTGATCTATTGCACCCGTTTAAAGATTGCACCCAGTTAGATTTTTTTTGTGATTTTAATATGCAAATGACCCATTTCTGAGCGTGACTTAACAAAAATCAGCATACTTATCAAAAATCAATGTCAAAACATCCTTGAGGCTTAACCCATAAGAGCCCGGACCAATTTCCCTTTATAGGACAATAATGAGGCATATAAAACAGACTAAATGGACCACTTAAAGCATGTTTCAGTTGTTTTTTAAATACAACCACTCCTTGTCAATCCATGTTAAGAAATCAAGATAACCAATTATCAAGAAAACACCAATGAGCCGCTGATCTACGTGTTTACGCATTACCGTTACACCGGCACTAACCCAGCGCCGTCAATTAAGCAAAACAAAACGAACGGGCCATCGATGTACGAGTTCTATGGGCCGTTAAGACAAAAAACAAAAAGTATGAGATGTTTCGGCCCACAAAGCAAGTCGGCCCAGCGGGAATCTCCCGGTAGTCCCGATAGCATTAGCATGCCTGGACGTCACACTTTAAATCCTACCTGTTGCCTTGGCTTTCACCGTGCACTTATTTAGCTGCGGTCGCATCAATTGACATGCCATCTCGGTAACGCTTTAGATTACAGCCCGGAAAGTACTGGGTAATTAAAGCAATTTTACAGCGTAACCTTCGGTAGTTATAGTGTACCTATAACGTACTTACAATATAAGTATAAGGGAACAATATTTTAAGTTTGGGGAATAAAGGGGTAACAACCAGGAGAATTAAAAAATGATTAATATTGTGAGTATTATAGAACTAAGGGGTACTTATTCTACTATTATGATAACAATCTTACATTGTGATCAATTTAGCAAGAACATACGTACATGCGTACCTTTTTGAAATAATGGTGAACCAGTACATACTGTATAGGCTTTATAAATAGATATAATAGATATGTACCCTGTAATTTTTAAAATGTAATCTTTTTAACAAAAGTGCACTGAAAACGAAAACTATTGCAACTTTTGCTTAAATATTGTGGAAAGATACTCTTGTTTCATGTAGCTTGTTACCCCCTTGTTCGATGTAGTTACAGGGTAAGTGTGACATTGCGGGCTGTACATTAAAGTGGTGCTTGTTACCCTCTTGTTCCATGTAGTTACAGGGTAAGTACAATAAAAATGCACACACAATCTTATTTCACTGACTCGGAAACCTTTATTTATTATAAGCACCACTTACCCTGTCACCACATGAAACAAGATATATTTCGCAGTATTTAAAAAAATTGCAATAGTCTTAGCTTTTCTTGCCTTGAAACATGTTATCCCAAACTTAAACATCTGCACTTTTGCTATAAAAAAAATAAAAAAAATATATATATAAATATAGCTGCAAGCAGCGATTATGGGCCCAAGCCGGTGGCACCGCAACCCCGGTTCCTTTAGTTACCTAAAGGCACCGGGGTGGCGGTGCCGCCGGCTTTGGGCCTTCATCGCTGCTCGTAGCTATATTTACATATATATATATATATATAAATATAGCTGCGAGCACCGATTTGTTTATATATATATATATATATATATATAAAAACAAATATATATATATATAAACAAATATATATATATATAAACAAATATATATATATATATATATATATATATATATATATATATATATTATTTGCCTTGCCTGATTAGAACAATGAAATTTTTTTTAAAAATAACTAGGAAATCACTAACCCGAGAGAATTATTCTGATTTGATGATACACTCAAAATATTCCACAAGCAATCCTTTAAATTTAATGATATTCAGAACAGAACAAGAATAAAAAAATATATAATTAAGAAATAACCGAAATAATTTAAAGCGAAAGTGAAAGTAAGTGGTGTTGGGCTCACGTAACTCTCTCATTAGAATAAAACTGTTTCATCATTTGCGATGTATTTGGATGCTAAACTATTCTTTATTATAGGCTTTGTACTTCACTTACGTTCCAATATGTGTTTGTGTGTGTGTGTGTGTGTGTATGTGTGTGTGTGGGTGAGGTGCGGGTGCAATTGAACTGTTACACATAAAAACATACTCTGTCATTTTGTTCATAGAGGACATCATTCAAACTGCAAAGTGTTTACTTATATTTGTGTACACTTGCAATAAAACACAACAAAGTGCTTTTGTCAAACTATAAACTCTTGTCAAACTGTAACCTACAACTGTCCCCCAACTAAAATCACACGCACACACTGTTTAAAAGCAAAAAATATTTATCCAACCCCATTTAAAACAGTCTGTGGGAGCCATCTTTTGGACATTCACCATATCGCATTGATTTTCATTTATTGTTTATTTTTCAATTACACATTCTACATTGATTAAGAAAGAAAATTCAAATGTGTTTTTTTATTTTATACAGGAATAAATTATTTATAATTCAGATGAGAATAAAATTAGTGTTAGTTAAATTTTTAAGGAAAACAAATATATTGATCTGAAATATAGCACATTCATTTTAAATTCATTCAGGTTAAATTACCAAACATACAATCTTAATTTAATTTAAAGCAAACAATACATTTAAAATATATGGATTGTATGCATATTTTGGAATTTAAAAAAAAGATATATATCCAAAAAGACAAGGCCTTAAACTTGAACAAGGGTTAAACTCTTGTCGCTGTAAGAGACACAATGATTCAGCATTTTGAACGAATCGATTGACTCAAAGATTCAATGACCAATCCATAAACATCCTGTCTCATTCATGAATGACTCCCTCGTTCGAACGAATCGTTTGAACGAATGAATCAATGACTCGCTCATTAAGACGGTCGCCTGGCGACACCTAATGACGGTTTAGTGTTGTTTAAAAAGTATTATTCTTTCCAACGATTGTTAATTAACTCATATTTAAAACAATCTCATAACATTATTTAATGCATTGTTATTTTTCAGTGTAAACGATTTAATTTGATCACCCCTACCTAGAGTAACAGCCATATAGTGTCTTATTATTCTAAATAATTGAATTTATTGATCAAATTTACAAATTAAACATGAAAGATGAAGCATACATTTAATAAGACTAGACTAGGGGTGCCCAGCAGATATTACAATATGCAGATTTAAATATACCATGGCCCCCCACCGTCAATTTGGTGTGTGTGTATAATAAAATCATTTAGTCACTACAATTAAAACTTGAACGTGTTTGCTTACTAAATTGTGAGCAAAACGAAAGTTGCAGCAAAGATCAGCAACAGGAGTCAAAATTCATTAATCACGAGTGAAGAGCTGACTGAAAAAAATGATGACGGAATATTTTTTGTAAAAGCGCCTATTTAAGCGAATCTGTCATTTACTCATTTGTTGTTGTGTTTTCCCTGAAAACCGGAAGCAATCGGCCCCCGTTATGGCGCTTATTTTAAAGTGACACTAAAAAGTATGCGGCTGCACTGGCATTCATAACGGTGCGCGTCCATGGCGACGAGCGAGCAGAACAGAGCGAACGTTTTTTTCATTTCTACTTCCATAGAAATTCATTCGAGCGCACTGCGAGCGCCACCACTATAAATGTCTGTGCGGACGTCCTTACTTTACTTTCACTTTTATATTAGCAATTTAAAAGCCCTCGCTGGTGTCTAACGTCGATTAACCGGTGGGAAAAGATCCTCACAGCCACATACCTAATATATTTATATTTAATTACAATAGCCATACCTGATAAAAAGTTTTATGTACTGAGTTGATATCATTTTGGACACAAGAGGGCAGTATAGCCCTTTGTATTACTTGATGTATTTATTTTTTAACTGAATAGCACATTCTGGCTGTTTTTAAACTTGTACATTATTCTTAAATTGAAAACAAGAATAAAATGGGTTTAGTTCTAATATTTGTGTAATTTTATCTAGAAATAAATGGTGTATAATTAATTTTTTAGAAGATATGAGGCTTTTAGTGTTTACTTTTTTGACATTACTTTAATCCCTCGCCATAGCAAAACAATTTGAGATATTCAATAGCCATTCACAATTTAGCTTCTTTAATGTATTTTCATCATGTTGAAAAAGTTTGGTGGGAATTAAATAAACCACTTAAGAGGAGTGGGTAAAAAATCAGAGGCTGATTTTGCCAAAAATCCACATTCAGACCAAAATATCTGACTTCCTGTTGATCCGAGCTAATTACGGTAAATTAGAAAGTTGTCCGGCTCGAAGAGTACAATATACATATCGAGTTTTGTTACTGTAGATAAAACTAACCCCCCCACTTTTGTCAAAAGCATTTAGAAAGTGACACACTTCCTGCTGCCAGTTGGTGGCGCTATAACTTTTACTCACAATAGTCACATCCATGTGATCGGCCTTTTACCACGAACACACTGCTGAAGTTTCATCAAGATCAGTTAATGTATGCAGAAGTTATAACACTTCGTGTTTCTCTTTTCTCGCCATAAATTGGTTTCCTCGCCACGGCCAAACCGTTCGAGATATCAAAAATCCGTCCGCAATTTAGTATCTTCAATGTGTTGACCTCAAGCTGACCGAGTTTGGCGGTAAACGGATGCAATCTCTAGGAGAAGTACTTAAATTCCTGAGCAAGCGTTCTCCAAACAACCCATAATAGCCGACTTCCTGTTGGGCTGGTGTAAAACTTGACCGAGGGTAAGTTGTTCGGCCCGATGAGATCTATATGTGTACTGAGTTTCATATTAATTCATGCAAGCGTGTTTGATCTATGGACCAAGTTTTGTGGACCCCGTTCAAGGGGGCGCTGTTGAGCCCCCCTGCCACGCCCGGGTACCAGCTTCAGCCCGGCCCTGATGGCCGCGGGTTCTGACCCGTGTGCAAAGTTTCAAGAGTTTTCGAGCACGTTAAGAGCCCCAAAAGTGGCCGAAAGGTAGTAAAATAATAATCATCCTAAGGAAAACAATAGGGCCTTCCCTTCGCCCTTTCAGGGCTTGGGCCCTAATAAGTCGGAATAATAATAATAATAATCCTTAGGAAAATAATAGGGCCTTCGCCTTTTCAAGGCTTGGGCCCTAATAAAAGTATAAATGCATAGATATGTACCCTGTCATTTTTAAAAAGCCTATACAGTATGTATTGCCTTGGTACACAATTATTACAAAAAGGTATGCAGTGTATGTTCACGCTAAATTGCTCCCAAATGTAAGATTGTTGTATCATATAGTAGAATAAGTACCCCTTAGTTCTATAATACTTACAGTATAAATATTTTTTTAAATTCTCCTTGTTTGTTACCCCTTTATTCCCCAAACTTTACATATTGTTCCCTTATACTTACATGCAAGTACTTTATAGGTACACTATAATTACCGAAAGTTACTCTGTAAATTCCTCTTAATTACACAGTACTTTCCGGGCTGTAATCTAAAGCGTTACCGCCATCTCCTTTCCCCTCTATCTTTTTCTATTTTTAGCCCCCGGCAGCTTTTTTGCTTTATCCGTCTTTTTCGATGACAACTCACTAACGTTACTCGTTCCTGCTCGCTCTGCGCCCGCTCGCATTACAATATATATACCGCTCGTTTTATAACATTGAGGAAATGCAGAAATGATTTAGAAACACAACAGCAGCTACATGTAGAAAATACCCAAACATTTTTTTTAACCATCACTTTTGATCTAAAATTCGTCAAAATCACTGTCTGTATCTGAGGACAGTTAACATTGTAAGCTAACTTACTCAGGCTTGCTTTACGACGTGCAGTTCTTTGTTCGTCGGCAGTGAATCCAGTTGTCAGATTCGCGGTGTAAAATACTTTGAAAACAATTCTGCCCTACTCTGACTCGGATTGGCTGTCAGGTATCGGCATTAGGAATGATGATTGTTTTTTTTAAAGCTGCGAAGTTTATTAGCCTGACTGCGTCAGACTTCGTACTTCCGCTCTATTTCAGTTCGCTTCTGTACTCAATCTGAGACATCGACATGTCTCTCAGTTTTCCTCCGGCCTGAAAACAGCCGGCCAATCAACGAACAGAGGGCGGGCTGAGAGCCGTGACGCAGACGCTAAGCGCCGAGTTTAAGATTGTATTTTAGGTTGGGGAAATCGAAAACGACCGCGGATATGGAGACACGGGATGCAATTCGCTCTGTTGTGGAGAATATTCCCGGCATTTTTAAACTGAAGCCCGAACAAGAAGAGTGTTTGTTAAACATTTTGAATGGAGGTGATGTCGTGGCCCTACTCCCGACAGGTTTTGGGAAAAGTTTAATTTATCAACTATTACCGATCGTCAGCGAGAAACTGGTCAGGTCAAAGATCGGCAAGGGGAGAGTTGTGATTGTGTCCCCCTTGGTTGCACTCATGGAGGATCAGGTTAAGGAGGCAGCAAACCTCGGTCAGCCATGTTCACGCCGGTATTTCGCTCGATGGTTTCGTTTTCACATCATACATGTGTTTACAGTGGAAGTTCGATGCGGCTGAGCTGGCGAGTAACACACGTAATAACCAGACGTTATGTGATTGGCTTACGGGTAACCAATGATTTTATACTTCAGACAAGCACTCCCCCGCGAGAAAGAAAACACTTTTCAATGATGCCATGCCAGACTCTGTCTACGAAGCAAAGCGAAGTAGCAGAGTTTGGTATTACCATGCTAGAAGTTTATAGAGATATAGCGGGTAAATGCTGACCACGACCTCGACCCCACACACCCCAAAAACAAATTCTCATCGGATCTGCACAAATCACTTAGGTGACCCATTTTGGTTTTAAAACGGCGAATTTCGCCGAAAGGTGAGGAGTTTTCATGCCTGTGCCTTAATCTAATTACTATGAATATAATAAAATGCACATATATAGAACATATTAAATTGCTTCAACACTGTAATCTCTACTCTTTCCTATAGTGATGGATGATACAGGAATTTGGCCAGTTTTTTACTCAGTATTAGAGTTCATCATAGTTTACCACTTCACTGTACTAAATCACTGTTAAACTAAATATATATAGCACTATATAGTTTGATTTTTACTCATAAGAATTTCTAAAGGTGCGAACAATTGACACGTTTTGCAGCAAAAAATATTTTCCTCTTTTCTTTTCAAATATACTTAAATTAAGGGTTGGATTTTTGTGAATATTTTGAATGAAAGACGAAAACGAAAATAATCTTGCTTATATTTAACAAGTTTGCCAATAAACTTTTTTTGCATAATTTAAAGTCATCATGATAGGGAAGTTGGGCTGGTCTTTTCTTCTCTATTGTGTTGTATATCTGAGTCAAACGAAACGGCTTCTGGGACAAGATCAAATGTAGATAAGGCTTGATTTTGTCAGTGGGGAATTGATTGGATGATTGGATGGTTGTGGTTTGCTATTGGTGGATCTCATGTGAGTGACAGGTTATAGCCCCACCCTCGTCATTAGAGAAGTGAAGCTGCAAGAGGAACTTATTCTGATTCAAGATGACCAGGAACATGAATTTAAAACAATTACCATGTGCACCGATAAATCATTTAGAAGAAAGATTCCATAAGAAATAAGAATGGTCTGTTTTGATTTCATAGTGACTTTAATAGTAAAATTCTTATGAAACAACAAAATGTCGAACCATTGCCAACTAAACTCACATAGGGTAAGATTCGCTCATTTCTTTCCTGATCTGTGCTGTTGTTCAGGGATAAGTTTGTGGAGATGGATCTGAAGCCTGTGTGTAAGCGCTGCTACGAGCGAGTGCCAGACGAGCTCAAGAGACGCTTGTCCAGGCGTGAACAAGACAACAAGGACAAGAAGAAGAAGATGCTCATCTGTCTGTGATGATGGCTGGATCACAACACCTCAACGGTCAGTGCTTTTAACCTTCCTAACGGGATAAAGATGAAGCTTCTCTCATCATTCTCCCATGCCGCTTACTGGGCCTCATTTATAAAACGTGTGTACACACAGATCTGATCTTAGAGTGTGCGTATGCTAAAATCAATGCCAACGTTCATATTAGTAGTGGGAAGTTCGGATCATTTTACTGACTCGGATCTTCGAATCTTGTTCAGCAAAATGAACGAATCTTTTTTTCTAGTTATTTCGTTCATTTCAGCAGAATATAATTAAAATGTCACGTTAAATAGCCCCACACATCTAGTACTTACGAAAATGTTGATTACATTTAAAAAAATAAAAATAAACTAAACCAAAGCCAAATTAAAGAAACCGAAATGTTTAATTAATTGATTAGTTGGGTCTTAACTTCAGGCCATTGCACTCTTGTTAGTTCCCCTCACCTCCTGATCCGAGACGTTCTTTATTTTCCAACTTCAAATGTATGACGTCTGTTCCCCGCCTCTCGTGTCTTCGGGTTAGAACTTCGAGACGTCACGTTAGTTCAGTCGACTCTCAGTGTCTGATCTGGGCCGTGTGACACAGCCCCATATATGCATTCACTGTAAACCCTAACGCTCAAAATACTTAATTGGTTTGAGTAGGAAAAACTTAAATTAAACTAATTAGTTCAGTCAAATTAACTTTTATGAGTATTTAGCACTTTCTTTTTCTTTCAAGTTCACAGAATGGATATATTTTAAGTAAACTGAACTGTTTCATTGTTTTGAGTTTTATGAAATTATTTCTTTTAATTTAGACGAACTTAAGTTTAACTGAAACGGCTGGGATGTATATTTCCCAGCATGCTTTGCCGATGGCACTCGAAAGGGAGAGTAAATGCTAAAATTAAGTGTAATACAATGTTTTTTTTGTGCAAGATTAATGTTAAGCGGGTGATTTAGTAATGATTAATGTTTCGTTATGCTAATTTAGAAGAATTTCTGTTAATGTTGGTTTTAGGATAGTTACCATCATGGTGACAAGTGGTGCATGAGCTTGATTTGAGAGCAAATAAAACCTTTATATTGCTGCAAGTGTTACTGTGCATACTATTGTTAAGAAGTTAACAAAATAGTATGTTAGCAAACTAGCTTGTTAAAGCTAGCTAAGTTTATACTAATAAAAGTGTTCACATTGAGATTACATGAAATTTTAAGTTAAATGTATGAATTAGTGTACTCAAACATTTCAAGTTAAGAACAATTCAAATGTACAAATACAAAATAAAAATATGTCAGTTCTGCTTACTTAAACTTTGAATTTCTTAACTTAAAAAATTTGAGGCAATTTATTGCCTTACATTTTTTGAGTTGTGCCAACTTATTCGGGTTTACAGTGTTTGAATGCACTGCAGTACCGGTCCGGAAAGAGAAATTATTAGTTCATCTCTCGAGCCTTTTCGGTATTAGTCAATAATACGAATCTAATGTTGTATTTGTAGCGAGATACCAGCGGTCACGTGACAAAAGAACGAAGGACTCAGACCCAAGGGGGTAATCCATCGACCGGAAGTTGAAGCCGGCCGGGTGCCGCCATGTTGTAGCAGAACTTCACTTGCGTTAGCATTTCCATTGACTCCCATTCATTTTGACGTCACTTTGACAGCGAATAACTTTACATCTGAGGCGTTTAAAGACTCCATTTGTCCATTATTTATTTCTAAAGAAACACGACAATGTATAAAGGGCTCCATTACCTTCTATGTTACATTATGGCCCCGTAGAAACAGATTTTGTAAAAATAGGCTAACGATTGCGTCATAACCACTCGACTCTCTGTCGCGCTGTACAGAAATTACCGTACAGACAGGAGGAGAAGCTCGCAGGCGATCGGGGGGACGTCCCGTCAAGAGAGAAGCCCATAGATAATGAGTCCATAAAAGCAACGGAATCCTTACTCCTGCTCACTCACGCCAAAGAACTCTTTGCTCAAGTTCCCCGTCTCTGCGAGATTAACGTTGGCAATTTTCACGCACAGCTACTAGAAGATTAACGTCTGTCAGACAGGTTGCTCACGTCATCAAGCTTAGTTTGAGTCGGTTTGAGTCTGCGCGTCAGGAACGGAAGTGCTCAAATATCGCTAAAAATGGGCTTCAACTGTCTCAACTGAGTTCCAATGAGATGGCTCTGTCCACTTCTTATACCGTCTATGCTCAGACCCGAAAGATGAACTAATCATTTCTGTTTCATGTGCAGAACCTATGGGGTGTCGCGCGCATGCGCGGTCAACACAAAATGAACGAATCACTCTCTGAGACAACTCGGTAGTCCCGAGTCATTTTAAAGATTCGTTCAAAATGAACAAATCGTTCATGAACATGTGACACATCACTAGTTCATATTTATAAAAAGTCTTTGACGTGGAAAAGTGCTCAGTGCCACGTCAGTGTCTTTTCCTTGTGGCAGAGTCGGAGAACTGCAGGTATTTGGACATCTAAGTAATTAATGCTTCAAAAACCACACAAAACGAACATGACGGGAATCCATCCAAGCCCATTTGATGAATCAATGAAGCGAAACGATTGAACTGATTAAACTGTCATACGTGCTCTCTTGATGTGAACGTCAGCACGTTGTGTAGCGTGATGCAAATGTGTTGTGAAACTCACGTGAGAAGTGACATTTCTCTCGCGTGAGGTTCAGAACATGTACACGTCCACGTCAATAAACACATACATAACAGCTGGCCGGAAGCAATGGTTCAAAGTTTAAAAAGTTTAAAATATTAGTATTTTTCTCTCACACACACACCTATCATTTGGCTTCAGAAGACATTGATTCATCCACTGGGCTCGTATGGATTACTGGAGGTCCCGTTTCCATTGACTCACTAAACTAAAGAATCATACTGGCTTTGCTGAACCTTATCCGAGTGCTGATGAAGACGGTTTTACTCTCAAGTCAAACCTTTGGTCCATTAAGAGCATTTCAGACCAGTTTGAAACATACATTCTTCTCTTTCATAAATAAAACAAGAAAAAACTTTTATTAAAGTGTCATTTAGAGTATTTCAAGAGTATTTTAGAGCCAAGGGTCTTTTCTTTCTTTTTAAAAAAAAAACTCTTTAGCTTCTGCTATAAATTCAGTGTTTGAGATATTACTTGTCCTGTAGTCATGTGTCTTCCTCGTCGTTATGTTGGACTGAATGACTGATTGAGTTGTTCAACTGTGTGTGTTTGCAGGAGAGTTTACCTGCGCTTGATGAAGATGAACGACTGAACCGACTCAAGCACACGCGTCTGAATACATTCACTGTCTACATGTTCATGTGCGCTGGATTTCATCTCGATTGCACAGAATCTGTTATGAGCTGAGATTGAGATTTCTTATAGTAGTTCAGTCACTTCAGTGGTGTGTTCATGAATATGAAGATATATGCAGTCTTATGTTCTGTTTAATTCCTCACTTGAGGTCTGTTGAATCGTATTTTATGTGTGGATGTTTATATTGTTCAGCTGCAAAAACAATAAAAAGTTTTACTGTAAGAACTTCATTTTGTCTACAATTGCACTGATAATACAAGCGCTAAATGTACAGTCCTGTTCGAGAGTAGAAGAGAAGGCAAGTTTATTTATATAGCACATTTCATACACAATGGTAATTCAAAGTGCTTTACATAGAAGAAATCAAAAGAAATAACAATAATTAAAACAGTTGAGAATAAAGAAATTAAAATAATCAAAACAAATAAGAATAATTAAAACAGTTTAGCATAAAAAATAAAATAAAATACAGTAAAAACAGTCGGACGAACAGTGGCACAGTGCTCATTCAGTAAATGCATAGCTAAACAGATGTGTTTTGAGTCTGGATTTGAATGTAACTACTGTAGGAGCACATCTGATCTCCTCTGGAAGCTGGTTCCAGCTGCGGCTGGCATAATAGCTAAAAGCAGACTCTCCTTGCTTAGAGTGAACCCTTGGTATTTCTAGCTGATGTGATCCTAATGATCTGAGTGATCTGTTAGGTTTATATTCAGTAAGCATATCTGCAATATATTGAGGTCCTAGCCCATTGAATGATTTATATACCAGTAATACTACTTTAAAATCAATCCTAAATGTAACTGGGAGCCAGTGTAAAGACCTGAGGACTGGTGTGATATGTTCATATTTTCTGGTTCTGCTCAGGATCCTGGCAGCAGCGTTCTGTATGAGCTGCAACTGTCTTATGGTCTTTTTAGGAAGGCCAGTGAGGAGTTCATTACAGTAATCCACCCTGCTGGTGATAAAAGCATGCACAAGTTTCTCTAAGTCTTGATTGGAAACAAAGCATCTAATTCTTGCAATATTTTTCAAATGATAGTATGCTGATTTAGTAATTGCTTTGACATGACTACTGAAACTAAGGTCTGACTCTAGAGATACACCAAGATTCCTGACTTGATTTTTAGTTGTTAGACCCCTAGCGTCAAGGTATGCGTTCACCTTGAGAACTTCATCTTTGTTTCCAAACGCAATGACTTCAGTTTTGTCTTTGTTTAGATACATCTACAGTTTACAGTTTTTATCATTCATTCCAAAAGTTCCAAAGATCTATCCTTTCATTGAAGTAAAACAATTAAAAGTGGAGGGAAAATCTCAAGAAATTGTTTTATCCAATACCTTTTTCAAACTCTTTTTGCCAAGATAAGCTCTGAGTCTTATATAATGGCTGATGAGTTTGGAGATCAGACCTTTCCATCACACAGAATCTCTCCAGATCCTTCATTCCTTCATACAGAATCTCTCCAGATCCTTCATTTCTTCATACAGAATCTCTCCAGATCCTTCATTCCTTCACACAGAATCTCTCCAGATCCTTCATTCCTTCACACAGAATCTCTCCAGATCCTTCATTCCTTCATACAGAATCTCTCCAGATCCTTCATTTCTTCACACAGAATCTCTCCAGATCCTTCATTCCTTCATACAGAATCTCTCCAGATCCTTCATTCCGTCACACAGAATCTCTCCAGATCCTTCATTCCTTCACACAGAATCTCTCCAGATCCTTCATTCCTTCATATCCTTCATACCAAATCTCTCCAGATCCTTCATTCCTTCACACAGAATCTCTCCAGATCCTTCATTCCTTCACACAGAATCTCTCCAGATCCTTCGTTCCTTCACACAGAATCTCTCCAGATCCTTCATTCCTTCACACAGAATCTCTCCAGATCCTTCATTCCTTCACACAGAATCTCTCCAGATCCTTCATTCCTTCACACAGAATCTCTCCAGATCCTTCATTCCTTCATACAGAATCTCTCCAGATCCTTCATTCCTTCATACAGAATCTCTCCAGATCCTTCATTCCTTCATACAGAATCTCTCCAGATCCTTCATTACTTCACACAGAATCTCTCCAGATCCTTCATTCCTTCACACAGAATCTCTCCAGATCCTTCATTCCTTCACACAGAATCTCTCCAGATCCTTCATTCCTTCACACAGAATCTCTCCAGATCCTTCATTCCTTCACACAGAATCTCTCCAGATCCTTCATTCCTTCACACAGAATCTCTCCAGATCCTTCATTTCTTCATATAGAATCTCTCAGACCCTTCATTCCTTCACACAGAATCTCTCCAGATCCTTCATTTCTTCATTCAGAATCCCTCCAGAGCCTTCATTCCTTCACACAAAATCTCTCCAGATCCTTCATTTCTTCATTCAGAATCCCTCCAGATCCTTCATTCCTTCACACAGAATCTCTCCAGATCCTTCATTCCGTCACACAGAATCTCTCCAGATCCTTCATTCCTTCACACAGAATCTCTCCAGATTCTTCATTTCTTCATACAGAATCTCTCCAGATCCTTCATTCCTTCACACAGAATCTCTCCAGATTCTTCATTCCTTCATACAGAATCTCTCCAGATCCTTCATTCCTTCACACAGAATCTCTCCAGATTCTTCATTTTTTCATACAGAATCTCTCCAGATCCTTCATTCCTTCACACAGAATCTCTCCAGATCCTTCATTCCTTCATACAGAATCTCTCCAGATCCTTCATTTCTTCATTCAGAATCCCTCCAGATCCTTCATTCCTTCACACAGAATCTCTCCAGATCCTTCATTCCTTCATACAGAATCTCTCCAGATCCTTCATTCCTTCACACAGAATCTCTCCAGCTCCTTCATTCCTTCATTCAGACAGAATCTCTCCAGATCCTTTATTCCTTCACACAGAATCTCTCCAGATCCTTCATTCCTTCACACAGAATCTCTCCAGATTCTTCATTTCTTCACACAGAATCTCTCCAGATGCTTCATTCCTTCATACAGAATCTCTCCAGATCCTTCATGCCTTCATACAGAATCTCTCCAGGTCCTTCATTTCTTCATATAGAATCTCTCAGATCCTTCATTCCTTCACACAGAATCTCTCCAGATCTTTCATTTCTTCATTCAGAATCCCTCCAGAGCCTTCATTCCTTCACACAGAATCTCTCCAGATCCTTCATTCCTTCATACAGAATCTCTCCAGATCCTTCATTTCTTCATTCAGAATCCCTCCAGATCCTTCATTCCTTCACACAGAATCTCTCCAGATCCTTCATTCCGTCACACAGAATCTCTCCAGATCCTTCATTCCTTCACACAGAATCTCTCCAGATCCTTCATTTCTTCATACAGAATCTCTCCAGATGCTTCATTCCTTCATACAGAATCTCTCCAGATCCTTCATACAGAATCTCTCCAGATCCTTCATTTCTTCATACAGAATCCCTCCAGAGCCTTCATTCCTTCACACAGAATCTCTCCAGATCCTTCATTCCTTCATACAGAATCTCTCCAGATCCTTCATTTCTTCATTCAGAATCCCTCCAGATCCTTCATTCCTTCACACAGAATCTCTCCAGATCCTTCATTCCGTCACACAGAATCTCTCCAGATCCTTCATTCCTTCACACAGAATCTCTCCAGATCCTTCATTTCTTCATACAGAATCTCTCCAGATGCTTCATTCCTTCATACAGAATCTCTCCAGATCCTTCATACAGAATCTCTCCAGATCCTTCATTTCTTCATACAGAATCTCTCCAGATCCTTCATTTCTTCATACAGAACCTCTCAGATCCTTCATTCCTTCACACAGAATCTCTCCAGATCCTTCATTCCTTCATACAGAATCTCTCCAGATCCTTCATTCCTTCACACAGAATCTCTCCAGATTCTTCATTCATTCACACAGAATCTCTCCAGATCCTTCATTCCTTCACACAGAATCTCTCCAGCTCCTTCATTAAGAATCCCTCCAGATCCTTCATTCCTTCATACAGAATCTCTCCAGATAGATCCTTCATTCCTTCATACAGAATCTCTCCAGATCCTTTATTCCTTCACACAGAATCTCTCCAGATCCTTCATTCCTTCACACAGAATCTCTCCAGATCCTTCATTCCTTCAGACAGAATCTCTCCAGATCCTTCATTCCTTCACACAGAATCTCTCCAGATCCTTCATTCCTTCACACAGAATCTCTCCAGATCCTCCAGTTCTTCAACAGAATCTCTCCAGATCCTTCATTCCTTCATACAGAATCTCTCCAGATCCTTCATTCCTTCACACAGAATCTCTCCAGATCCTTCATTCCTTCATACAGAATCTCTCCAGATCCTTCATACAGAATCTCTCCAGATCCTTTATTTCTTCATACAGAATCTCTCCAGATCCTTCATACAGAATCTCTCCAGATCCTTCATTCCTTCATACAGAATCTCTCCAGATCCTTCATTCCTTCACACAGAATCTCTCCAGATCCTTCATTCCTTCACACAGAATCTCTCCAGATCCTTCATTCCTTCATTCAGAATCTCTCCAGATCCTTCATTCCTTCATACAGAATCTCTCCAGATCCTTCATTCCTTCATACAGAATCTCTCCAGATCCTTCATTCCTTCATACAGAATCTCTCCAGATCCTTCATTTCTTCATATAGAATCTCTCCAGATCCTTCATTCCTTCATACAGAATCTCTCCAGATCCTTCATTCCTTCACACAGAATCTCTCCAGATCCTTCATTTCTTCATATATAATCTCTCCAGATCCTTCATTCCTTCACACAGAATCTCCCCAGATCCTTCATTCCTTCATACAGAATCTCTCCAGATCCTTTATTTCTTCATACAGAATCTCTCCAGATCCTTAATTTCTTCATATAGAATCTCTCCAGATCATTCATTCACACAGAATCTCTCCAGATCCTTCATTCCTTCACACAGAATCTCTCCAGATCCTTCATTCCTTCATTCAGAATCTCTCCAGATCCTTCATTCCTTCATACAGAATCTCTCCAGATCCTTCATTCCTTCATACAGAATGTCTCCAGATCCTTCATTTCTTCATATAGAATCTCTCCAGATCCTTCATTCCTTCATACAGAATCTCTCCAGATCCTTCATTCCTTCACACAGAATCTCTCCAGATCCTTCATTTCTTCATATAGAATCTCTCCAGATCCTTCATTCCTTCACACAGAATCTCTCCAGATCCTTCATTCCTTCACACAGAATATCTCCAGATCCTTTATTTCTTCTTACAGAATCTCTCCAGATCCTTCATTTCTTCATATAGAATCTCTCCAGATCCTTCATTCCTTCACACAGAATCTCTCCAGATCCTTCATTTCTTCATTTAGAATCCCTCCAGATCCTTCATTCCTTCACACAGAATCTCTCCAGATCCTTTATTTCTTCATACAGAATCTCTCCAGATCCTTCATTTCTTCATTCAGAATCCCTCCAGATCCTTCATTTCTTCATACAGAATCTCTCCAGATCCTTCTTTCCTTCATACAGAATCTCTCCAGATCCTTCATTTCTTCATACAGAATCTCTCCAGATCCTTCATTCCTTCACAGAATCTCTCCAGATCCTTCATTCCTTCACACAGAATCTCTCCAGATCCTCCATTCCTCCACACAGAATCTCTCCAGATCCTTCATTCCTTCACACAGAATCTCTCCAGATCTTCCATTCCTCCACACAGAATCTCTCCAGATCTTCCATTCCTTCACACAGAATCTCTCCAGATCCTTCATTCCTTCACACAGAATCTCTCCAGATCCTTCTTTCCTTCACACAGAATCTCTCCAGATCCTTCATTCCTTCACACAGAATCTCTCCAGATCCTTCATTCCTTCACACAGAATCTCTCCAGATCCTTCATTTCTTCATACAGAATCTCTCCAGATCCTTCATTCCTTCACAGAATCTCTCCAGATCCTTCATTCCTTCACACAGAATCTCTCCAGATCCTCCATTCCTCCACACAGAATCTCTCCAGATCCTTCATTCCTTCACACAGAATCTCTCCAGATCTTCCATTCCTCCACACAGAATCTCTCCAGATCTTCCATTCCTTCACACAGAATCTCTCCAGATCCTTCATTCCTTCACACAGAATCTCTCCAGATCCTTCTTTCCTTCACACAGAATCTCTCCAGATCCTTCATTCCTTCACACAGAATCTCTCCAGATCTTCCATTCCTTCACACAGAATCTCTCCAGATCCTTCATTCCTTCACACAGAATCTCTCCAGATCCTTCTTTCCTTCACACAGAATCTCTCCAGATCCTTTATTCCTTCATACAGAATCTCTCCAGATCCTTCATTCCTTCATACAGAATCCCTCCAGATCCTTCATTTCTTCATACAAAATCTCTCCAGATCCTTCATACAGAATCTCTCCAGATCCTTCATTCCTTCACACAGAATCTCTCCAGATCCTTCATTCCTTCACACAGAATCTCTCCAGATCCTTCATTCCTTCACACAGAATCTCTCCAGATCCTTTATTCCTTCATACAGAATCTCTCCAGATCCTTCATTCCTTCATACAGAATCCCTCCAGATCCTTCATTTCTTCATACAAAATCTCTCCAGATCCTTCATACAGAATCTCTCCAGATCCTTCATTCCTTCACACAGAATCTCTCCAGATCCTTCATTCCTTCATACAGAATCTCTCCAGATCCTTCATTTCTTCATACAGAATCTCTCCAGATCCTTCATACAGAATCTCTCCAGATCCTTCATTCCTTCACACAGAATCTCTCCAGATCCTTCATTCCTTCACACAGAATCTCTCCAGATCTTCCATTCCTCCACACAGAATCTCTCCAGATCCTTCCATTCCTCCACACAGAATCTCTCCAGATCCTTCATTCCTCCACACAGAATCTTTCCAGATCCTTCATTCCTTCTTACAGAATCTCTCCAGATCCTTCATACAGAATCTCTCCAGATCTTCCATTCCTCCACACAGAATCTCTCCAGATCTTCCATTCCTCCACACAGAATCTCTCCAGATCCTTCATTCCTCCACACAGAATCTCTCCAGATCCTTCATTCCTTCATACAGAATCTCTCCAGATCCTTCATTTCTTCATACAGAATCTCTCCAGATCCTTCATACAGAATCTCTCCAGATCCTTCATTCCTTCACACAGAATCTCTCCAGATCCTTCATTCCTTCACACAGAATCTCTCCAGATCTTCCATTCCTCCACACAGAATCTCTCCAGATCTTCCATTCCTCCACACAGAATCTCTCCAGATCTTCCATTCCTTCACACAGAATCTCTCCAGATCTTCCATTCCTCCACACAGAATCTCTCCAGATCCTTCATTCCTTCTTACAGAATCTCTCCAGATCCTTCATTCCTTCATACAGAATCTCTTCAGATCCTTCATACAGAATCTCTCCAGATCCTTCATTCCTTCACACAGAATCTCTCCAGATCCTTCATTCCTTCACACAGAATCTCTCCAGATCTTCCATTCCTCCACACAGAATCTCTCCAGATCTTCCATTCCTCCACACAGAATCTCTCCAGATCCTTTATTCCATCACACAGAATCTCTCCAGATATTTCATTTCTTCACACAGAATCTCTCCAGATCCTTCATTCCTTCACACAGAATCTCTCCAGATCCTTCATTCCTTCATATCCTTCATACCAAATCTCTCCAGATCCGTAATTTCTTCATACAGAATCTCTCCAGATCCTTCAGATTTCCAGCTCCTCCTCTTCAGTTCAGCCCACTCAAACTCAGACAGAGGCCGTCAGGTTTATATTTTTTCTCTGTTGGTATTTGCTAGATTACATGATACCATGTATCTGAATAAGAAGTCCTGGGCCTGGGATACTTTTTATCCCATCTGGTGGGTTTTCTGCAAAAAAGCTTTTTTTTTTGTTTCATTGAGCATAGCAGCCGGTCCCGTTTGAAGTTCCAGAAGTGTCTGACTACTGAATAAGCTGGAGGTTTGTTTTTGGATGAGCAAGGATGATTTATTTCTTTAAACACTCCCAAACAACATGTGATGTCGGGGCAGTTTGATTTTTTTTGTTTTGAGGTTTTCTGACCCCAAGAAAAAACAATCCGTCCCAACAGATAAAATATAAACACTTTTAATAGGCTTACCTTATGGAAGATGGATTTATGATGTACTTATTTAAATTCTCATTTGTGAACCCAAAATGATATAGTGTACTTTGAAATTCCAGTTTGCTTTGATATTTAGTCAATACATTTATGGTCAATTTCATGTAGGTCTTATCTACGGAGTAGAGGGAAAAAAAGGAGTGGATTTACTGAACAAATAATGACTCCTGATCTTTGCTGGTTATACAGCGGTAGCTTAAATACTGGTTACCAGTTTTCTTGAAACAGCTTAGCTTCACTTTATTCAGTAGAATTTCACTTTCTCCTGTAGTTGCAATAAAATGTTTTATCATCAATAATGCAACATGACATCATGACTTTGCGTAAACATACACGCCACTTTCAAGTCAAGTGGCGTGTTATCTATACGCATTTTGAGCTATCCGCGTGTATGTCCACGCCGAAACGAACCGTCATCTTTTGCGTGTATGTGTACGCCGTTAAACGTCCGAGTGATTCCGCGTGTATGTGTACGCCGTTAAATGTCCGAGCGAAACGAAGCAAAATGTATATTTACATCTGTGGAGCAATATTTTTTTCCTAGGATGGTAGGGGAAGACTCATAAATAGTATTAACCCCAGTGACGGGTAGGTTTAGGGACGGGGTTGGGGTAGGTCATATATTTATATATACAGTAATGTAACGTTAAATCAAGGCGTTGATAAACACGCTGAAAAGCGATTATGCGTGTTGATAGCACGCCAAAAATGGAAATACGAATTGGCGTGTCATACATACGCCATTTCATGAGATCAGTCTGAATAATGACACTGAATAAATAGTGAAGCTGCCAGATGTTTATTTTAATGTTCAGGAGATTGAAAAGCTCATGTTGGATTGAGGTACAGCAAAACTGTATTTCAGCTCCATCTAAAACACTGCTGGAGAGAAATGTGCCTTTCAGACAAAATACAGACTTTCTAAGGGAGAAAGCCAACCTTGAAAAAGCCCCTGTAAACTCAATACATATCAAGGTAAATCTGGGGTAAACAAGTTCATAGTAAAACGTAACTTTTTTTTGCAAAGCATAAATTTTATTGTCAACTAATGCGGTCTAATACAAACAGGACAAAAATAAAATCACTGCATGTACAACATCTCTTACACATTTACACAAAAGATCAGGGAACATAATTTCTCACATGAACAGAAGTTTGCCAAACGTAGAAAAGTTTACAACTGTCCACAGTCTGAGACGGTGATGGCTTTAGTGGGTTTGCCGTCCTTACTGCCCAGCTCTGCTATTCTCTTCACCACATCCATGCCTTCTTTGACGAAGCCGAAAGCCACGTGCTTGAAGTCCAGGTGTTCTGCTTTCTTGAGTGTGATGAAGAACTGCGAGGTGTTGGTGTCTCTGCCGCGGTTGGCCATGGACAGCAGTCCCGGGCCCGTGTGCCTCACGTCGAAGTTCTCGTCCTCAAACTTCCCTCCGTAGATGGACCGTCCTCCCGTCCCGTCCCCGCTGGTGATGTCGCCTCCCTGAGAGACAACAGACCAAACAATCACCGTTACTGGTGTGTGAACAACCAGACCAAACAATCCCCTTTACTGGTGTGTGAACACTGATGTGTGTGAACAACCAAACCAAACAATCAACCAATCATGCACCCAATCCTTTTGTTATATTCTCCATAAATCAGAAGCAGGTTCTAAATATGCGGTTCCAGATTCCCCACCCATGACTGGTGACGATCTAACCTATTAGCATAGATCCCGCCCTGAGTGAGCCGCAAATGTGCACGCCCTCAGCGTTCTCACAGGTTCACGCTTTTAAAGTTTGCGTAGAGAGAACTTAAAGAGTTTTCTGTTAAAACGGTGTCATGTTAGCGGCCCCTAAGTTAATAACTAATGATCGTTACGACGGAAGTGAATAAATTAAAACTAACTTTAGCTGGAAAATAACTATTCTAGAGCTGTCAAAAAGCCAAAACAATCTCTGTTACTTTAATTTCCTATTATCCCTGTAAAGCCGCTTTGGAACAATCTACATTGTTAAAAGCGCTATATAAAAGAAGATGACTTGACATTTATATCCTCGGTTCCTCGCTAAAGCACCTACTGATAGAACATTTGTAATGTTTGCGGCATGGACATTATGTGAACATACGAGTCTCCATAGACTCCCGGCATCTGAGCCACTGGGGATTCATTTCATTTATGAAGGAAATGTGCTGAAGAAATTAGGTAAAGTCTTTTGTTTGTGAAGCAGTCCGGCGTAAAATGATTTGCACAAACAAGGGTCAGTTCAACGCTGGAATTGCACAGAAGTTGATTCTGAAAGATGGGTTGATACCAACATCCCACTACAGTTCCCACATGAGCACCTGTACAACAATTTACAGATGGTCATGACGGAACATGCTAATCCATAAGCGGAATAAAGTTAACTCCACAACAACTACAGGACATAAATTCAGAAACGTCCTCTTGCATTCTAAAAGTTGTGTCTCTCTCCATCAGTGACCCCGGATCGAACATTTAATACTGACAAGTTTTACATTTTGGCTACTGTGAGATTCTCCAGGTTTGTTGAGTATCCAAAGCCCGAGCTGTACAGGCTCCGCCCTCTTCTGGAAAGGGGGCGTGGAGCAGCGGCTCATTTGCATTTAAAGGGACACACAAAAACATTTTTCACACCCAAATAGAAAATTGGAAATATAAATTATCTGTGGTATTTAGAACTGAAACTTCACAGACACATACTGGGGACACCTGAGTCTTATATTACATCTTGTAAAAAGGGGCATAATAGGTCCCCTTTAAAATCAAATTGAAGGCTTTAAGAATTTAAGGACAAAAAAAGTGTAGCAATACTAAACAAAATGACAGTAATCCACAATTTCAACAAAGTCACAGTTCAAATAACGCAATGAATGATAATGCAGACTCTCTCTGACAGTAGATGGCGCTTATGAAACAGCAGAAATACAGCGGTTACCCTGGGAAACAGAGCATAATGATTCCCAACATGACATCATGACTTTGCGTAAACATACACGCCACTTTCAAGTCAAGTGGCGTGTTATCTATACGCATTTTGAGCTATCCGCGTGTATGTCCACGCCGAAACGAACCGTCATCTTTTGCGTGTATGTCTACGCCATTAAATGTCCGAGTGATTCCGCGTGTATGTGTACGCCATTAAATGTCCGAGCGAAACGAAGCAAAATCTATATCTACATCTGTGGAGCGATATTTTTTTTCCTAGGATGGTAGGGGAAGACTCATAAATGGTATTAACCCCAGTGACGGGTAGGTTTAGGGACAGGGTTGGGGTAGGTCATATATTTATATATACATAATACAGTAATGTAACGTTAAGTCAAAGGCGTTGATAAACACGCTGAAAAGCGATTATACGTGTTGATAGCACGCCAAAAATGGAAATATGAATTGGCGTGTCATACATATGCCATTTCATGAGATCAGTCTGTGATTCCTGTTTTTTCATCCCAAAATTTAAGACCGCTTGAAACGATAACTAAGACTTTTCTTTTACATTTAGTGCGAACATATTTAAGGCCATAAAGAGGCTTATATGTTACGAGTTTTTAAGGAGACATGCTGTATTTTCAGATGGTGCGGCCTCACCTGACACATGAAGTCAGGGATGATCCTGTGGAAGACAGAGCTGTGGAAACCGAAGCCCTTCTCGCCCGTGCACAGAGCCCGGAAGTTCTCCGCCGTTTTGGGAACGATGTGAGCGAACAGCTCCATGACGATTCTCCCAGCTGGCTCGCCATCGACAGCCATGTTGAAGAACACTACAGGATTGGAGTCTCGAGAATGCGCCTCGGCCACGGACACCTGAGTGCAGTCGGCCCGCGACATGAAGCTCTGGCAGTCGACGAACGCTCGTCTGAAGGACTCGGCCAGCTCTGGAGTCTTGAACTTGGCCGCAAGCTGCTCGACCTTCCCGTCTCCCTCTGTTTGTGGGAACACACACACATATGAACAACACTGCCCAGCACAGTTTCCACTAGGGCTGTCAAATAAAAATTCAAATTTAGTTTTTATTCATCAATAAAAAAAAACAAATAAAAAAACTGCATTCAAATGCAAAAAACGTGCATTTGAATTTGTGTCAGCTGTTTTATTTTGAAAAATGGCGGGAAAAGCCTTCCTGCTGGCGAAACCCCACTCAGTTGGAGTCAAAATTGTGTGTGTGCGTTTTCATCAGCTGGAAACAGTCAACAGAAAGCGCTCAGCACTCGCTCAGATCAAGTTGAGCGTCAGGTGTTTTTGATGAACAATATGTAGATGTAGTGAGTAGAAGTTAGTGTTTCTGAATGGCAGTTTGCTATTGTGTGTTCATGTAGTTTATTACGCGTCTGTTGAAGTGTGTTTTCTCAGGTTACTGATGCACAAACAGTTTTATGCACTATTGTAACCTAATTTTCCTTGCATGCACATTAACGAAATTATATTTTATTTAAGAACAATAGTTTCAAAAGTTACACTTTAAAAAGTGAATGTCATTTCAAAAGATGCAATACTTAATGTGGTTTTTATTTGCCCATTGCACTCGCTTGCGGGCATAGGAGACAATACAGTACTTTTCCCTGTGACATGAAGTATTGCCTAAAGAATTTGAATTTAGCCAATATTTAAGAAAGAAATTCAAATTAGGCTTTTCAGCCATTTTGACAGCCGTAGTTTCCAGCGTGTGCGGTGCGAGGGCTGTACCTGAGTGGTCGGTGGCGGTCCACACCAGCGCGTTGGCCGAGGTGTTCATGGGCTTGAGCTCGATGCTCTGGGTGATGGTGTGGTTAGCACAGACCTTCAGCACCTGCTCGCGTCTCATCAGCACACGGTAGCACTTCTTGACGGGGTGGAAGAGGATCTTGATGTCTCCCACACCGCGCTCCTTCCACTGGTTGAGCTCGCGGTCCCAGCGGTAGAGTTTAGTCCTTTCTTTGAACAGAATATCCTCGTCCTCCTCGCCAGACTTCACCTCCACCTGCAGGAGTCACGTCAACACGTCAAGTCAGCTATCTGTATAAATACCCATCTAAGAGGTAGGCTAGTGCCCCCTAATGTTACCGTTGTTACATGCTCAAACACAGGCTCTGACAAAAACAAAGTTTTATCAAAATTAACATTTTTAAGAAAAGGGATGAGACAAAATTATTTTCATATTCATTTAATATGTATGATTTTGATTTTTAGAAACTGTAAATTCACTCTGACAGTAGATGGCGCTCACCATCTGTGATGGATATTTCTTGTGTTTCTGTCAAGAAATCTTATGCATTTTTTACCTAGAACACTGAGAGCATTAGTGAGTGCACACATGTAATGTAAAATCGGTTTCATTCATACTCGTAACCGGATGGACCCTCCTGCTGAAAGTCCAATAAATCTAATAAAAATATATGGGCAAAGGCATCCAGCAATCGCCATAGCAGAATAAAATGCAGATAGAGATCTATTGACTGACGAAACATGAAAACAATCAGGATTGTGACAATATGATTAATCTGTGTTCAAGCCATCTCGGGTATTTTAAAGTATATTTACAATGCAATGCTAATCGTTATAACCTTTAGAATACAATAATATAATATAATTCTGCCTCAATCTAAGACATGAAGTCACGTTAGACCACAAAAGGAAGTTATTTCAAACACTCGACTGACGTTATGAAGTGAAGTGAGTAAAAACATGTCATTAAATGTTCTCATTTGTTGGACAACAGGTTTGTAAATGCTTCTCATTGCAAGTTTGGAGAGATGCAGGTTATGAGTGACTCAAACTCTCAGCGCTTGCGGAGATGGAGCAGCATCTACTGCAAACTGATCGATCCACTCTGATCTCAGTGCTGCGCTTCATCATGAAACACTGCGCATATAACACTGTGATTTCATAATTGCACTTCGGTTTAATTCCGGTTAATCGTCCGGCCGTTGATTAACCTCACACACACACTCACCTCTGGCAAGGACACGATCGGCTCAAAGTGGATCTCCTCATTACGGGGAGATTCGTCATCACTGCCCTCTTCTCCTTCATTGTGTGCTTCCCCTCCTTCAGTTCGCGCTGGTGCACTACCAAAGACCGTGGCTCCGGCGTTTGACCAAGAAAAATTTGCATCTACAGAAATAAACGTGAGAAAAAAAGTGAGAATTGTCAAAAATGCCCGTATCGGCGAGTATCCTTGTGAAACACAGTCAGTTATGAGAAAGACAACACGTGTACAGTTTCAGTATATTGAATCCGGACATTATGTCTGTAATGGCAGACAGCATCAGGAATATTAGGCTGCTGTCACTTTATGTTTATTAAACAACAAAAGAAAAAGAAAATACACCCACTGCTTTTGACTGAATAACTTTTGTAACTTCAATAAAAATTCATTTATAATTAATTCATACAGTGAAGACTATGCAGTGTTATTTTACATTGATACTTTACTCAAATCCTGTACCTGAAAACAGATAGATATAGCGGAAAAAGGTTTGGTTAAGGTTATAATCTCGATTCTCTGAGGTAGATGAGAGAGACATCTCACTATGGGAAACGCCTCTTGCTTGGACCTCCATGAAGCCCTAAACAAAATCACATCTACTGGGACAACGCTCCTGGGAAGCCCCGCACCTTCCCGTATGAACAGCAGCGCTGGCCCAAAACAGCATACTTTACAGATCTCCCGAGGGGATGAATAATGGACTCTCTGGTGAGATGTCTCACTCACCGAGGTTATAACTATAACCTTGGGAATATAACCTGGATTTAGGGGCAAGATAACCCTGGGAAATTTGTGTGTGAACCTGATACACGCAGGGTTAAATAAAAATGCATGTAGTTCTCCCACCCCGCTTCATAGAGGTCAGGAGGAGCAGTAAAGCTGCCTTGTATGAGACCATCTTCATATCTTGCTCCAAGGGTTCAAATGGGGCTTCCAGGAGCGGGGACAGATCCCATGCTGGGAACATAGGTCTGATAACTGGTCTCAGATGACGCACACCCTTCATAAAAATACTTATGATAGGATGCTTATCTACTGTTTCATACCATTAAATCCCATGTGACATGATGAAATGGCTGCAATCGTAGAAAAAGGCCTTCCCTTCCTCCAGTATCCCCTGACGGGAGGTAAGAATGTCCGGTAATGAAAAAAAAGGAACGGCATCTTTTGCCTTTTGACCCAGAGGTCTCTGCGCTGAGGAAGACGCCACAGATGTGAATACAGCAGTTGAACCATCTCTGCTGTCCATGGCCTTCCTAGCAATAATGGAGCCATTAAGAGCTTCTGCAACCTAATTCTGGATGGAGTGGGAGGATGAGGTGTATCGGTGGGAAAACATGTAACAGGGTTTCTGGCCAGGGATGTGCTAATGCGTCTCCAGTGAGAAGAACGGGCATGAAGATTTCTCGAAAGGATTCCCCCTGTCTGTTTGTATAAGGAACCACTGTTGTGTTGCTGACCATACTCAACAACCCTTTATTTGCGGGAGGAAGTGTTTGAGGGCCAAATATACTGCAAGGAGCTTCACTATGCATTACTTTGACTGGTTATGTCCACGCTCCATTCACAGGGCGTCCCTCCATTATCGCTCCCCAACCCTGAGAGGATGTGTCGGTGGTGACCACCTTGCAGTCTGAAATCACACCCATTATCACCCCTTCCATCAGGAATTCCATCTCGCCAAATGAGCAGAGCCCTGAGACATTGAGCTGAGACGCGCACCTTCCTGTGTAGATCTCTGCCGGGACTTGATTTAGAAAAGCAGTCCATCTCTGAAAGTCTCGCATGGACAGCAGCACCAAAGACACCACTGCTATGCCTGAAGCGCATATCTGTACAGGAAAAACCATACACCAGGACTCTGGATGACAGTGGTCTTTCCCAATGTTTCATCGCATCCTCCATGCAATCCTGGAAAGGTGGAAGTGTCTGATGTGGAGGTAGCAGGAGGACTAACCCATGTAGGGTAACCAGGGAATCCCCAAACTGATCTTCCACATCGTCGTCCTCACACTCGTCTGACAGATCTCCAGATGCAGCAATGGAAACAGAGTCGTCGTCCAGTAGGACCTCAGGGAATGGCTCTATTTCCATCTCGGAAGGGAACGGATCCTCGAGCTCGTCTGAATGAGCAAGCTGGTAAGCCTAGAGTCCGTTTCCTGCGCAGATGCTGTGCCGTCTGTCCCCTGTAAGGCGATGCACACATCCTGTTCAAACACCGCTCCTCTGCGCCTCGCTCCCAGAGTGTGTTTGCTGCTCTGCTTACAAGAGATCGGTGCCTGTAATGCTGCCTGTGCATGCTCTGGCCTCAGACACGCGGGCACAGCACATTCCTAGCTGCAATAGGGAATCCACATCCCCCAGGGCAAGAGCGAAAAGGTGCTCTGGATGTCTTAAACTTCATAGAAGTAGTCATGTTCGGTTGGTAAGTAGATTTTTTTTTTCTTGGTAAAGAATTTCACTATGTTAAATGTTTTATTCGGCCTGACGCCCTACGACAAGTAGTAACTTTTTAATCTTGTTTAATCATGCCAAACACTACTGAACGTACTGAACAGGGCTCGTAGGTAGGATGCCGCGAGTGAAGAGATGTAGGATGGGTAACACTTTAAGGTGACGGAGTTACATGTTACTACATGCATTTACTCCAGTAATAACAGTAAATTATACATTGTTACAAGTAACTAACCCTAAACCAAAACCTAACTCTAAAGTAAGTACATGTGATTAACTAACATTACTCAGTACCTAGAGTAAGTACAACGTAACTACGTCTCCTTAATGAGGAGTAACCGTAGGAAGCTATTTTGGGCCATCACTACGGTTTATATGGGATGGGGCGGGGCTTCCCAGGAGCACTGGCCTGATAGGGGTGATTGTATAGGGATTTCATGGATGACCACACAAGAGGGGTTTCCCATAGTGAGATGGAGCGAGTCGACCGAAAGAGAACCTGAAAAGCACTGTTTATTTCATTTGTATCTTTGTTCAATTGTATTTATTTGTACTTGCTTGTAATTGGATTATTTGTCCTTATTTTATTACTGACTGATTACTTTCTTTTATAAAGGTTTAAATTTACATTAATTAGGCTAGTAGTTTTTGCTGTAATATCAAAATTGGAAAAGAGAATTGTGATATTTCACTGGCATCTAAACATTTGAACAAGCAGGCTAGTAGAAAATATCATAGCAGCTCTAAATACACGCTGTGCTATTAACTCAAAGATAACATGATAGAGCAATAGAAAGAACAGTGAAACTAATAGAAGCTCCAACAATACATTTTAACAGGCATAATTAGGTGTGAAAATAACTGAAGAAAATATCTATTTGCTAAATGAATTAAGCCAACGAATTTGATTCATACATTGTTTAAAAATTACAAGTACAATGAAAATACAGGAATCGGTGAGCACAAGAAAAATGAAAGTGTCGGTATCAGTGCACAATAAACTGAAATGTACTGTATTATTTAGTGAAAACACTGGGCTCCTGTGTGTTGATGAGAGCAGCAGTTCACACAGACACACCCAGAAAACCTCAGACGGTGTGTGTGTCCCTCTCTCTCCTGTGCTCTGGCTGGCACTACACCTTCATGCTAGATTACTCATTCTCACTAAGGAATAGTTTTCCCCCCCATCATAACAACTCAAAAGAAAGAATTGTGAATTTGACTCTTTATTATGAAAAATAAAATCTAATGACTCAGTCAGACACACGGGTTAAACGCTGGTTAAGATGTAAACAGAACACTCACCTTTTTTGCCAAAAGCAAATTCTCCTGAAGTCTTTGCCAAGTCTGCAAATGAAAACGCACTCTCAGATGCAGATGCAAATGCAAAAGGAAGACCTGCTGGAGAAGAGCAAAGACGTCAGACGATACCAAAGGCAAATGCTGCTTGTGTTTGAATGAACGTCCCTGTCCTTCGCTCTCTGACCCCGGGCTGGACTTCATTCCCACATGTCAGAAGAACGGTGGAAATGATTATATTAGCCCACCTCCCCGTATAAAACATATACTGTCTGATTAGGGCTTACAGATGATGGTGTATTATAGAGAAGAGACTGGTTCAACTGGTATCATGGTTTCAGTGATGTTTTATCATTTCTATTCTGTGGAAAGAAACTGCATCCAATTCTAATAAAAATATTCCTTATTTTCGGTTTTAAACACTTAACTTACATTTACCTGAACCAAAGTAGTAACTTTTTCATTGTTTTATCATCGTGTCAGTGTGTTTTCATTCAGTGAGATCTGCTCTCTCGTTATAATCAATGACCGTCTACGCTGAAAGACGAATCTCTTATTTATATCGTGTTGCACTGTGTGTTATGATGAAAGCATTTGTCAGAGTTCAGCAGACATCACTGTGATTGGCTCTCTTTTATGCAACATGAGAAGATCTAAATCTAATGCTGTAATCAACACCTTTCACAACAGATCATCTCTGCAGCTGGAAGAGTAGAAATGTAGTTTTCAGAACATGTAGTACTCATTTCATATGCAAAGGTGTCAGCCAATCACAGGCGTGTCTCCTTTCAGTTATCAGTGTTTAGATCAGAAGGCTAAAATCTGGAGATGGCTTTTTCACGTCTCAATCCTTCTTATAATCCTTCATTATAAATGCAGGTCATAACTCTAATACGCCAGGTAAACGCCCTCTGCTGCTCTGCTCTTACAGTCACTAGACGTTAAACTGGAGTGTGTCCAGGGCAGCGCTGCTGTAGAAGTGAGGAGGACATGTGTACCTGCAGTGGAGCTGGACTCGCTCTCGCTGCTCCTCTTCGTGGAGAGGTCAATGGGGTCAATGCTGCCGTCCACGGGAGGCTCTTCCGCTGCTGCATCATGGGAAGGCTTCGGCTTCACCTGTGTGTCCAGAACACGACACATGAGTCAAACCAGTGCTGCTAATCACGTCTCATGTCAGTGTGCAGAAAGTCCTCTGACCTGAGCGTGCTGCAGTGTGTGTAGCTCTGCGCTGAAGTCGTCGGGTCGCTCGGAGTCGGAGTCGCTGCTGACGCCGCAGAGGAAGGTGGGCGGCAGCTTCAGGCGTCTGGCTCTCTGCTCCTCGTCTGCAGTCGGCTGCTTCTCCCACACTAGTGTGACCTCAGAGTCTGCAAACACACACTCTCCATCAGAGTCTGCAAACACACACTCTCCATCAGAGTCTGCAAACACACACTCTCCATCAGAGTCTGCAAACACACACTCTCCATCAGAGTCTGCAAACACACACTCTCCATCAGAGTCTGCAAACACACACTCTCCATCAGAGTCTGCAAACACACACTCTCCATCAGAGTCTGCAAACACACACTCTCCATCAGAGTCTGCAAACACACACTCTCTCAGCGCTGATATATCTACTTATGGTACACATTCTACAAACACACTTTGGAATTAGAAAGTAGTGTGTTTTAACCCCCTGGGGTCGGCCGTCGCACTGGCGCAATAGCCTCGCTTTTTTTCTTATCAGTGCGAAAGAGACTCAAATAACTTTTTTAATAAGTGTTAAATATAATTCAAAACTGTTAAATGTCTACTTTTATTGGTGTACACTCATAATAAAAACAAAATGTAGTGATTTTCGTAAAAGAAACATACTAAACGATGTGCGACCTGCCGTCTCTCGCAGTGTGAAGGCCATTCTGAAACGCGACAGAAAATGAACAAACTCAGCAAAAACTTGGCGACATGAGAGATATGTCTTTAGAAAGCTTGAAGTGTCTATTTTTAAATGTAAATCATATCAAAAACAAATATTCTCGGTTTAAGTAATCCGTATGAAAGCAACGAGAGGTACAGTTTCTCAAGCATCTGCTCATTATCTCTAATGTGACCACACCCACACAAGCGATTCACATGCTAATAGTCCACGTGAAGGAGCGAACCTGTAAACTCCCTCATCACCTCAAAACAAAGCATCTAACTTATCAGTCCTCTGCTTTTCATCGAGTTTGGAAGACACGCTGCGATTTTACCTTGGATTTAGTTAGCGTGTTATTGTTGCATCAACTTCACACAGTACTAGTTGAGCTGGTGCCAGACTAAAAATGTATGAAATCGACGGACAAGGATGTTTTTATGCTCTATAAAACATAGCATGATATAAAAGTAGGCTAGTATGAGTGTTTACACTGGTCTAAACATTATAATACTCATGTTAGTGTTTACAGTGAAATACAGTGTTCGTGGATATCTGCTCAAATGTAGCCTAGATGTTTAGAATGTGGTAACAATAATGTTTCATAGTGAGGAGCGGCTCGATCGCTTCAGTAAATATTTTGTTATTTTATGCAGCCCTACAAGTATATGCCTACAAGGCACAACAAACCTGGTGTTCTATATATATTAGATTTTCTTCCCCAGATCGGGCAGCCCATATACGGTTTTTATTTTTATTTTTTTTAACAGGGACCAGATGCCACTGATGATCATTCACACGAGTCTCATGGAAATGACAGGTATGGTGATCAGGAACTGTTTCAGGAATGGCACAAAGGTGTGTGACTGTTCATGTCTCTCTGATTCGATCAGCGCATTCAATAATGGGCCTTTATGTCATATTAGGACTATGCTGTGTTGTAAATAAATCCAAACAAGCAAAAAGCCATTCTTTTAATCTCTCCAGATTCTTTGTGCAAGTTCCCCCACAGTCTCACCTGATATGGCCATTAGGGGAGGGTCTTTGTCTTCCCAGGTGTGAAACACATCAATATTCATGATGATATACGCCCTCCCCGCATACAGCTTTCTTACTCAAAACATGTCTTACAAATTTTAAATCATTATGTTTTATGTGATTGAGTGGGCAGGATGATTTTCACAGTTTTGAAAGAAAAAATTCTAGGCTACGTGATTGTTTTCACGTCTTGTGAACAAATAATCAGTGAGTTTTATGGCCTTATTTCAGAGACTAAATATTTTTAAAAATTCACAAATATATATATATACTTGTTTTTCATCAATGTATTTTTTAACAATACAAAGACAAATGTGTAACATTTGACCATTTATTTGTTCCCCACAAAATGTTTTTTTTCACTTAATGTTCAGATTTTATAAAATGATTGTGCACCCGTGATTTTTCTAAAATAACTTTTGCTAATCTATTATCCTCTAACCCAATTTATAAGATTATTTTTGCCATAGTTTATGAATATAGCCTTCTCTTACTGTGCAGTTTGTGTAGCCGGTGAGTTAGTGCACGATTCTTGGGTGAGGTTTAACCAACGGGGGGAGGGGGCGTGGTCAATGGGAAATCACCCATGGGCGACGCCCCCTACCCCTGTGGAAATAGGCCTGCCACTACAGCTGGAAAAACTCCTAGAGGAAACACTGTATTGCATGTCACCTACCGTGATCTGACGCCCCATCAGCTCCGTCCGGATACAGCTTTCCTCTCAGATTCCTCACTGCGGTTTCAAAATCTTCATCTGTGCAACACAGAGAGAGAAAACACACATGAAGCATGATTAACCACACGGTCGAGGCCCAGACACATGCACACTGATCGGCCAATCATTCTTTACAGCCGTTTCAGAGTTAGTCAAACTTTAACAGCTTCTAATTAAACAAGCACAGATCCGGGTAGTTCTGAGCAGATCTGTTCTCAGAGCACAGCTTCAGATATGGGCTTTACTGGTACAGGTGACAGAAACCAGACTATATTTAAATACAGTTTAGATCTTACCATCATTGTCATCGTCACTGACGTATCCTGGGACGTTTTTGTAACAGAAGAACGCAGGAGGAAGCATCAGTCGGGCGGCCAGTTCTGCCTGCTCTCTCGTTGGCTTACGCTCAAATATAATCTCAACATCATCACCATCTTCATCATCACACACGTCCGGAGCGTTCTTCTGTTCTGACCCAGGCGAAACTGTGTCAAAAAGAAGAATTTCAGCTAATGCAACAACAGAAGATCAACACGACTGAAGCTTTCAGAATCAAGTCTTTTACAAATCTGAAACTGAAGAGCATGTAGCAGACGCCACAAAAGCCCTCACACGTCTCATCTAGCGTCTGCGGTGACGACACACATTTCACACCAAACATTAGGTCAATAATAAAGACACACACATGCAAACACTCATGCTCCCTATCAGACTGTGTGGAAAAAAAGAGCACCCAACCAGAAATGTAATCCATAAATTTCTTCTTAACTGCTCAATTACATACAACACTGAATCATAAACTGAATCAAGGCATCAACAGCCACTGCTGTCACGATGTAACGGAAGCAGCATCATCATATTTTCTTCCATATTGTGATGTATGTCAAATTTGATCAGATTATTAGAAAAGTAAAGTAGAAGTAGGGCGGTGCTTGGTTCTATTCACTGCTTGTTGATTGGATGTTGAGATGTGGGCGTGGCTCTCGAGAGTATGCAGATGAGCGGGAGCTGATTGGAGAAGACCTGCGTACGTCACCAGAGCAAAGACTGAAGCGTCACAGGAAGATACAGTTATGGCACTGCAATTAAATTGAATGGAGACATTTATATGGTGCTTTCATATGTACTACTGTACACCCAAAGCGCTGTCCAATCATATCATGGAATCTCTCCTCTACACCACCAGTGTGCAGTATCCACTGGGATGATGCGGCGGCAGCCACAGTACAACGGCACCAGTGCGCTCACCACACACCAGCTATAGGTGGAGAGGAGAGAGTGATCGAGCCAATTCAGTGGTGAATGCATGAACTGATAAAATCTATAACTTAAATGCAATGCAAGTCGCTATGGATAAAAGCGTCTGCCAAATGTTTTGTCAGTCATCTGAAAAGTAAAGAGGGTATATATTAGGCACAACTCTTTAGCTTGACTATAATGGGGAAACACAGTGATCCATCATTAACTTAAAGAGAGGGAACCTATGAAGCACGTAAACTATAGAGAGGGAACATATGACGCATGTAAACTACAGCTTAAGAATGAGGTCGGAAGCAACAACAGCTAAACAGGTTTAGTGAAATCAAATCTCTCAGCACAGCATGCAGATCCACACGATTTGTTAGCTGGTTAGAAGACTCACAACATCCAACTAGTACTCCAAGCGGAAAGTATACTTCAGTTGTCCGTTTGCTATCTGAGCATGTGATGGGAATTGAGTGTGCTAACTGCTAACAAGTGTGTTCACAAGGTACAAGTCAAGAACGATTGTCCTGATCTTTTGAAAGAGTATAGAAGATGACTCCTGGTCAGTGGAGTTTACTCAGTCCATGTCCACACTAATAATCTTTTTCCTCTCTGTTCTGGCCTTCCGTCCACACTGAGATGGCGTTTTTATTAATGAAAACGAAGCTTTTTGAAAACGCACTTTAAAGTGGATCAATTTGAAAACGCCGTTTTCGCATTGTAGTGTGGACTGTGAAAAATGATGACGTAAGTTTAGTCACGTGACTTATATCCTCCTGAGACCCAGAAAAAAAAAAGTTTTTTGAATTTAGTTTTTTTCCATGTCATCACACTGTTTAGAGCACAATAAACAAATGGTAAAAAAAACATATATATAAAATAATATTTTATTCATACGTTATGCTATGTCCTCTGTAGTGGACGCCAGGACTAAGTTGTTTAAAAAATAAAATGACATGAAATTATATGTATAGGCAAAAACAATGGGATTTTTTTTTCAATCACCAATACATTTTGGGGTTTCAGGATTTTTTCAACCAAAATTTGTATAAAGATTATTCTCAACTATGTTATGAAAGAAATAATGGAATGAATTGATACACCGTTTTACTTTTTGCAATATGTGGGTAAAATGGCCATAAGTTAATATTCCCATTCAATGCAATGTATCTATACACTGTATCTAATTTGCACATTAATGTGTTCTGGGAGCAACATTTAATGAAAGAATAAAGGGTAATAATTGGAGTAATAATTGGCAACATTTTAATAATAATATCTAACATTTCATAGGAATATTGATGTATAATTTATTTCCATATTCACTTGTTGTGTCTCCCAGAATGCCTGATAAACATGATTTTAGTCCTGATGTCCTCTACAGTGGACACGTTTGAAATCAATGCCCTGTTCTGTAACAGAAAGTTTTTTGGTTTTTTTAAACCCCTTAACATTTTCCTGAGATGTTGTTTTATGAAATACAATTTGAAAAGTAGTCCAATTTATATTATAATTACACTATATTATCATATTTCCATAAGAATGCTACATTTGATCACTAAATTAATGTCAGACATTTTTAAAGACCAAGGAGAAGTTGTTTTCATGGTGAAACCTCCAAACATTTGGTATCTCTGAAAAGTCCTGAATGTGCTCTTTACAGGACACCCAGTGTTGTGTCATGTGACATGTATGATGTCAGGGAAATTAACTAAAATATAATGTCCACTACAGTGGACAAAAGTCTATTCTTGGGTCCCAGGAGGATATTGCACCAATAGATATTCATGTTTATACCGGCAGTATTGTGCCTGCTATTCACTTTCACACTGTTGCTAAAATATGTTACTTTGCAAACTCTTCATATCACAGACCTGCAAATAAAACATGCAACAACTGTTCAGTCAAAACGTGTAAATTAATTAGGCAATTTACTATTGTGTATGCACGTTATATTTTAAGCTTTACGAGCTGGATCCTGGTTTCTGTAAAAAGTTGATGACTAGATTCACTTTATATCTTTAAAGCGTGTAAAACATCCGCGTTTGCACATCAATGCCTGTATTGGGTGCTTTTGCAAAACGTTAATGTAAGAAACTTGATGATGATGATGGCTATAATTATTATTATTATTCAAATAAAGTAATTTGTAATCATAACTTCAGTTAAATGTGTTTTCATCAGCCGGGATAATAGAATCGAAGTCATTACGCAAGGACGTAAAAGAACAGGTGAATGAAACGAACTGTCCGAAAGAACCAGCTCGCCGAAAACAACCGAACTTCCCATCACTGCCTTCAATAGTCAATAGAGTTTACAACATTAGCTGAGAGATTTTCTTTCCTTGAGAAAAGCTGACATTTACTGTACCAGATATATTCAAATGAATCTATATCGAATTGGATCGGAATTGAATCACAAGCTTGTGAATCGAACCGTGAAATTTGTGTCAATACCCAGCCCTACCGAACAATATTTAAGTCAAAACCTAATGATTTCTTTAAGCTGAATAAATCTAAATAACTATAAAAACAGTGGTGTTCTAAATCTTTTGACACCCTTCAAAATATACATGTGAACACTTTTAACATTTGAAAGCAACTACCGGTCAGTCAGTTCATCTCAATAGACCAAAGAAAGATTTCATGAGGGAGTCAAGGGGGATTCTATAAATACCCAATTAGCATTGACATTGCAATAACTTCTTATTGAATTGTCATTTACTGATGTAGTTTCTTCACTCAAAAAAGTATTTCAATGCAAGTGCTATTAATCAACATGATTAATTGCGATATTTTAAGAGAAATGTTTTAATGTTGTCATAATTGTGCAGCCCTAACTCGTTTTGTCTCCTCCATACAGTGTCTGATCTGTTAAAAATCTGCCACGTCTGTTTTAATGCAAATTCTATTGATACAAATTAATGATTACAATTTAGAGAAATAATGCAGCCCTATCATGTATCTTGACCACTGCGTTTAAGACAGTAAAGAGCAACCACATCATAACTGAAATCCAAATAGGCCAAATAGCTCTCTTTGTTATTTACTACAGCAACAGAAGCAGCCCTCCACAATGTTGGAAAACGTCTGCTACACATACAATATATAGCCGAGACAAAAAACCTTGCAACACCACATCCCAGTAACCACACCTGTTGGTGTCACATTTCAAGATGGGAAAATAACTTTACAAGACACTCCCTGCTGAATACTTAAAGGACTTTGAAGCCACTGGTCCACTTTAATTGTAAATTCTACTAAAGTTTCAAACAAACAGCTAAAGGTTAGCCAATTTCAGATCCATGCAAACGTTTTGATTGAGGCCAAGGAAACAATGTTTAAGTTATCACATCATTCAGCCAAGGTCAGGTCTCCCGGCTCATGCCAGTCAGTGAGAACTCTGTGTGCCACAGTAAACTGTGACCTGAAATACCTTGGGCTTCAAACTGGGTGGCTGATGTGCAGCTCCAAAATGCCATTGGATTATTTTTGAAAAGCCTAAAATCCAAACCTAAAAAAAAGGTGTGTTAAAGATTTTTTGTTATTCTTGTCAGGGACTTGAATTTAACTCAGTTACTGAGTGGATGATGAAAATCAGTCTCAATACGACAGAAACATGAGCTTAATGACATCAGCTGTAAAGGAGACATTTCAGAAGCGACAGATTGCAAAGACATTTTTTTCTTCCTTAGGAAAACATACACCAATGAACAGTGCCCAATAAGATCATGAACTTGTAAATAAACCAGGAAACCAAACAACTAGAATATAAACTAGGGATGAGTTTAGCTCCAACCTTGATTAAACGCATCTAAACCAGCTAATAATTATCTTTAGGACTCTTGAAAAATTGCAGGGAGCAGGGTTGGAACTAAAACGGCACAGGGTTGGACATCTCTGATCTAAACTAAGAGGTCTAAACAGATTTATTCATAAACTATGGGCCACATAATATAGCTTACTTGTTGGGATGCTGAAAGGATTCCCAATGGATGGTTGACTGGTCACTTCCTGTCCAGAGGTTTTCAGTCTTGAGGCACTCGTTTCCTCATCTTTTGGACTGGGAATCATAACAGGTGATTTCTCTTTTGATGACAAAGGGCTCCCAAAGATCTTCTCCACAGAGTCTGAACCAAAGACGAACTTGGGAGGAGAGACCAGAGAGAACTTGGGAGTCTTGGTGACCTGAGCGCCAAGCTCTGCCCCAGGCGACCCATCTAGTTTAGGGCTGCTTTCAACCTCAGGAAGTTCAGTACGTTCTTTTGTGGTTTCCTCAAGTACAGCAACTGCAGCCTTACCACAAAGTGGCTCTTGGCTGAAGGCAGGTACTCTTGCGGAAAGCAGGGTGAGAAGAGTGTCTTTTTCCTGGGCAGTCTTTGCCTCTTCGAAGACTTCTTTGAACATTCTTGCAGTTTCCTCCAGTTTAAACCGTACAGCCAACTGTTCAATCTTGCCCTGCCCTTCAGCAAAATCGAAGGCACTCCAGATCCATGCTTTCTCGGATCCTTTCATGGGCTCAAGATTCATATTTGAAGCAATCCAATGGTTTGCACACAGTTTCAGGACCTGGTCCCGCCTCATAACAAGTCTGACGCGCTTTGTTTCGTAGTTTTGTAGTATTTTAAGGTCTCCTATACCTCGTTCCTTCCATTGACTAAGTTCTTTATCATAGCGGTATAGTTTGGCCCTGTGACTGAAAATGACTTGCTCGTTCTCCTCTCCTGTTGAGACCTCGACAAGATCAGGCAATGGCACAACAGGCTCAAAGTACTGACCATCTCGATCTTCCTCTTGCGATGCTTCTTGTTCATCATCTGTGCCTACAGAAGCCTGGCTCTGGTTTAGCTTTGATGGAGACTTGGAGGGACTGAGAATAGGCTGAAAACTGAAACTAAAACCTGTGGACGATTCGCCAAAACGGAACAAACTTTTTGCTACTGGATCAGGCTGCAAAGATGTATTGCACACAGAAGAATCAGCATAGTTCTCAAGTGCTTCTTCTTGCAAATCATAATTATCCCATTCTAAAGCAGTTGTGGTGCTTTCAGAGTCGAGCTTGACTATGACTGAAGAGGTACTGATACCTGCAATGCTACTTTCATCATCCTTGCTTTGGAAAGTCAAGAATGATTTGAGGTCTTTAAGACCAGATTTCATTTCTTCAGCTTTCTGTATAAGTTGGGCCGTTCTGCCAGTATTCACAAGCTTGTGAGGGGTCTGTAAAGGAATATCCAATAGCAGCCGCTGACACTCCTCAAATCTTTGCTTGAACTCTTCTGCAAGCTCTGGTGTTTTGAATTTTGCCGCAAGCTGTTCTAATCTGGCATCTCCATCTGAAAAGTCATTGGCTATCCACATCCAGGCTCGGTCTGACCCAGAGAGGGGCTTCAAGTTCATTGTGGTTGTTATCCAATGATTAGCACATACCTTCAACACCTGCTCTCTCCTCATAAGAACTCGAAGTCTCCCATTCTTATTATTTTTGAGCAGCTTAAGGTTTCCAACTCCTCTTTCTTTCCATTGGCTTGTTTCTGTATCAAATCTGAAGAGTTTGACACGCTGCGAATACAAGCTTTTCTCATCTTCTTCCCCTGTAACAAGGTCAACCTTCTCAGGCATCTGAACAACTGGCTCAAACTGAATATCGTCATTGTCCTCTGTTCTGTACATTTCATCTTCTTGATCAGCAGAGGTGTCTGTCTTGGAGCTGGATTTAATTGCTGTAAACAGCTGCTGGCCAGCCCCGGCAAAGCCTTTGAAAGTGGGATCCTCCTGGCCAAACTGAAAACTACCTTGTGAGCACGTTGCCAAGTCTGCAAAACTAAAAGAGTCAGGCTTACCGGTAAGGAGGGGATTATTATCGTGACTACCAGTATCTAAGGGCTCATCTGAGGAACTTGGGATTGCCTCTTTTTCCTTCTCTCTGTGAAGTTCAGCAATATCCTTCTGGCCGAACTGAAAACTACCCTGTGAAGTATTTGCCAATTCTGCGAAACCAAAGGAATTAGGCTTACCGGTAATGAGGGGATTATTATCGTGGCTACCAGTGTCTACGAGCTCATCTGAGGAACTTGGGATTGCTTCTTTTTCCTTCTCTCTGTGAAGTTCAGCAATATTTTTTAGGAGGTCAGATGCAGATCCATTTTGTGACTGTCCGTCTGATGCGTTTGCCTCAGATTCTGCAATCCCAAACTTGAAACCACCATCGGGGACTGGCATGGAAAACGAAAAATTTGAACTGCTTGACTTATCAGCCTGAGATGTAGAGGACTCTACAAACTTAAAACCTTCTGAGGATGCTTTTTCCTTACTTGTACCAAACTGAAAAGCAGGACCTGGATTGAAATTGGCAGTAAATCCTGTTGCAGCAGGTTGCTTGCTAGAACTACCAAAACTGAATGAAAAAGAGGAACTTGATGAAGTCTTGCCTTTCATATTTGGGTTTGCTGCCTGACATGAAACACACTGCCTAGCTGTACCTTCATTTCTTACCAGGCAAGTGTCACAATCCCACTGTCCCTCTTTTTTACCAAACATGGCAGCTAACTTAATGCTGCAGGGGGCTTTGCAAGAAACGCATTCAGTTGCTGAAGCATCATTCCTCACTAAGCAGGAGTCACAGTCCCATTGACCCTCTTTCTTGACAAATTGAGAGCCAAAACCAGAGCCAAAAGGGAAAACTGGAGTTAATGAGACTTTCGCATGTTGTGGTGCATCAGTCTGAATAGTTTTCTTATCAGCCTGAGCTGCAAGGTCAACGGATGTTACTGCAGAATCATTTGATCCAAATTGAAAAGAAACTGGTATTTGAGACCCAAATGCTAATCCCTTTGAGCTGACATCAGTGTCTCCAGTAAGTCCAAAAGAAAAAGATTTGGCAGGAGGAGCCACAGGCGCAGAGCCTTTAAGTTCCTCTACAGGTTTGTTCTTTGCTGTAGAAGGAGCTGCACTGTTGCAGGCAACACACACTGCAGATGTGGGAGCGTTTCTTACACAGCACACATCACAGTCCCATTCACCCTGCTTCTTGGAAAACAGTGTTTTAAGATCCATTTCTTTGGATGAAACCTGAGGCTTTGGAGTTTCACATTTCTTTTTCAACTGTTGGCCATGTGGGGACACTACAGGTTTTTCCTTTGCTGTAGAAGGAGCTGCACTGTTGCAGGCAACACACACGGCAGATGTGGGAGCGTTTCTTACACAGCACACATCACAGTCCCATTCACCCGTCTTCTTGGAAAACAGTGTTTTAAGATCCATTTCTTTGGATGAAACCTGAGGCTTTGGAGTTTCACATTTCTTTTTCAAATGTTGGCCATGTGGGGACACTACAGGTTTTTCCTTTGCTGTAGAAGGAGCTGCACTGTTGCAGGCAACACACACTGCAGATGTGGGAGCGTTTCTTACACAGCACACATTGCAGTCCCATTCACCCGTCTTCTTGGAAAACAGTGTTTTAAGATCCATTTCTTTGGATGAAACCTGAGGCTTTGGAGTTTCACATTTCTTTTTCAACTGTTGGCCATGTGGGGACACTACAGGTTTTTCCTTTGCTGTAGAAGGAGCTGCACTGTTGCAGGCAACACACACTGCAGATGTGGGAGCGTTTCTTACACAGCACACATTGCAGTCCCATTCACCCGTCTTCTTGGAAAACAGTGTTTTAAGATCCATTTCTTTGGATGAAACCTGAGGCTTCGGAGTTTCATATTTATTTTCCATTTGTTGGCCTTGTGGGGACTCTAGAATGAATTTTTGAGCTTCCTCAAATTTGAATTTAAACAGTGTGGCCTCATCCGCAGTTTTAAAACGAATGGCCAACTGCTCAGTCTTGGGCATTTCATCTGCATAGTCCATAGCATACCACACCCAGGACTTGTCAGATCCAGCATTTGGTTTGAGGACCATATCTGCAGTGATATAGTGATTAGCACAGATTTTGAGAACCTGTTCCCTCCTCATCAACAGACGAACTTTCCCGGATGTTCTGTGTTTTAGAATTTTGAAACTTCCAATGCCCCTCTCTTTCCATTCTTTAGTCTCAGGGTCGAACCGGAAGAGTTTTGCCCTCTTGCAGAACATCTCCTCTTCCTCCTCCTCACCCGTTTTCACATCAACCTTATCAGGAAGAGGCACAATGGGCTCAAAATGAGGTCCATCCTCTTCCTCATCCACATGGGTGCTATCATTATCACTTTCCCCGCTTTTCTCTTCCCGAACCTCTGGATTTCCTAATACAGGTTTGGTTCCACTTGCAAAGCTAAAGCTTTGGTCAGTGTTGCCAAAAATATTCATTTTGCTCTGAGCAGCATCGGTGAATGAAAACCCTGTGGCACTTTTACTTCCAAAAGTAAAGACTCCACTTTGGCTAGGCGGATGCTCTTGGGTCTGATGTTTCGGTTCTGATGGTCCTTCCGCTTTGGGAGGAATATCTGACGTCAGAAGTCCCAAGAGGCTTTCACTATTTTTCATCTGAGCTGAGGAAAAGGTGAAATCACCATCATTGGACTTGAAATTGGAGTTGAACTTGAATGCAGTTGTTGCCGATGTTGATGGGGCACCGGCAACCCCCCCAAAGTTTGGAACCTTAGGAGGTTCACCTGTGAACTGCGACCCAAGACTCATCTTGGGGTCAACAGCCTTGTTTTCACTGCTCTTGGATGGCTGCGTGGATGTATCGACACATGGCTTAGTGAAATATCCAGGCTCTGGTAATGTTGGATTGACTGTAGGTTGAGGAAAATTGTGACCATAATACTCTTCACTGTATGGGGAGAGTAAGGATGTAGCTGGTGACTCAAACCGGATGGGAGCACCAAAGACCTGCTCTTGAGGATATATGCATGCAGGAGTTGACTGAAGAGGTGGTGTGTGTGTTGATTGTTGGTAGGCATACATATGCTGCTGTGGAGGAAGACGATTCATCCCGTATACTGGGCCCTGCAGAGATAAACAAACAATACTTTGATATTGATTCTCTGTGCTTTTTCTTGGTAACTAAAAAGGTAGAATATATTGCATTTACATGAAAATCACTCCACTACCTTTGTTGGTGTAACATTTGCAGCAGTGCGTAGAAGATACTGTGAATTATATGCTGGAGACTGGTTGTAGTATGCAGAGGGACCTGTAGTGGCAACTGAGAAAAAAAGGAATGAATTTTAATTGTCTCTTAAATATTGTATACTTGTATTGTATACAAGTGGTTCTCAATTTTTTGGTGATGTCATTATTTAGAAGTAGAACTTTTTTGGTAACACTTAAACGGGTGTGCTGTCAATTTTGTATTGTCAATGATGTATTGGTTTATGTCAAGGTGTAATAAAGACATCTCAAACAGCGTCATATTTGCATTAAAAATGTCGTAATTATTTTATTTGGATTAATTGAGCGAATGACACTTAATGACAGTTGTCATAAACATGCATAAAACCTCATTCATAGTCAGCAGCCATATCTCCCTGTAGTCCAAGACTGGTTGCCCACTGAAGCTAAGCAGGGCTGAGCCTGTTTAGTACCTGGATGGGAGACCTCCTGAGAAAATCAGGTTGCTGGTGGTAGAGGTGTTAGTGAGGCCAGCAGGGGGCACTCAACCTGGGGTTTGTGTGGGTCTTAACACCCCAGTAAAGTGACGAGGACACTATACTGTCAAAGAGCAGGGGTGTAACCCCTAAGAGTAGGGGTATATCCCTGGTATCCTGGCCAAACTTTTCCAGTGGCCTCTGTCCATCATGGCCTCCTAATCATCCCCATATACCAATTGGCTTCATCACTGTCTCCTCTCCACCAATAAGCTGGTGAGTGTGTGTGTGTTCTGGTGCACTATGGCTGCCGTCGCCTCATCCAGGTGGAGCTGCACATTGGTGGTGGTTGAGGAGATTCCCCCTTCCATTTAAAGCGCTTTGAGTACCCAGAAAAGCGCTATATAAAATGTAACAAATTATTATTATTATTCATGACATGTGCCATGTCATGATTATGGAGGTGTCATGTCAGTCTTATACACACCGCTTCAAGTAAAGCGTTACCATTTTTTTTTTGTGGTAAACCAGAGGGTCTACCATGCGCATAGTAAAGCGATCACCAACAATCATTTTAGGCGGAAATTAAGGTTAACAGATATCAGATACCAGTCGTGTCTAAAGGGACAATTTTTTTATATATATATGAATTACCAAGAATGACCCTCATTGGTTCTTCAGGAAGCTCAAACATGGTGCGTAACACGAGAATGAACCTCATTGGTTCTTGCTGAAGCTCAAACATGCTGCGTAACACGAGAATGAACCTCATTGGTTCTTGCTGAAGCTCAAACATGCTGCGTAACACGAGAATGAACCTCATTGGTTCTTGCTGAAGCTCAAACATGCTGCGTAACACGAGAATGAACCTCATTGGTTCTTGCTGAAGCTCAAACATGCTGCGTAACACGAGAATGAACCTCATTGGTTCTTGCTGAAGCTCAAACATGCTGCGTAACACGAGAATGAACCTCATTGGTTCTCGCTGAAGCTCAAACATGCTGCGTAACACGAGAATGAACCTCATTGGTTCTTGTGGAAGCTCAAACGTGCTGCGTAACACGAGAATGAACCTCATTGGTTCTTGCTGAAGCTCAAACTTGCTGCGTAACACGAGAATGAACCTCATTGGTTCTTGCTGAAGCTCAAACGTGCTGCGTAACACGAGAATGAACCTCATTGGTTCTTGCTGAAGCTCAAACTTGCTGCATAACACGAGAATGAACCTCATTGGTTCTTGCTGAAGCTCAAACGTGCAGCGTAACACGAGAATGAACCTCATTGGTTCTTGCTGAAGCTCAAACGTGCTGCGTAACACGAGAATGAACCTCATTGGTTCTTGCTGAAGCTCAAATGTGCTGCATAACACGAGAATGAACCTCATTGGTTCTTGCTGAAGCTCAAACGTGCTGCGTAACACGAGAATGAACCTCATTGGTTCTTGCTGAAGCTCAAACGTGCTGCGTAACACGAGAATGAACCTCATTGGTTCTTGCTGAAGCTCAAACTTGCTGCATAACACGAGAATGAACCTCATTGGTTCTTGCTGAAGCTCAAACGTGCTGCGTAACACGAGAATGAACCTCATTGGTTCTTGCTGAAGCTCAAACGTGATGCGTAACACGAGAATGAACCTCATTGGTTCTTGCTGAAGCTCAAACGTGCTGCGTAACACGAGAATGAACCTCATTGGTTCTTGCTGAAGCTCAAACGTGCTGCGTAACACGAGAATGAACCTCATTGGTTCTTGCTGAAGCTCAAACGTGCTGCGTAACACGAGAATGAACCTCATTGGTTCTTGCTGAAGCTCAAACTTGCTGCATAACACGAGAATGAACCTCATTGGTTCTTGCAGAAGCTCAAACGTGCTGCGTAACACGAGAATGAACCTCATTGGTTCTTGCTGAAGCTCAAACGTGATGCGTAACACGAGAATGAACCTCATTGGTTCTTGCTGAAGCTCAAACGTGCTGCGTAACACGAGAATGAACCTCATTGGTTCTTGCTGAAGCTCAAACTTGCTGCATAACACGAGAATGAACCTCATTGGTTCTTGCTGAAGCTCAAACGTGCAGCGTAACACGAGAATGAACCTCATTGGTTCTTGTGGAAGCTCAAACGTGCTGCGTAACACGAGAATGAACCTCATTGGTTCTTGCTGAAGCTCAAACGTGCTGCGTAACACGAGAATGAACCTCATTGGTTCTTGCTGAAGCTCAAACGTGCTGCGTAACACGAGAATGAACCTCATTGGTTCTTGCTGAAGCTCAAACGTGCAGCGTAACACGAGAATGAACCTCATTGGTTCTTGCTGAAGCTCAAACGTGCTGCGTAACACGAGAATGAACCTCATTGGTTCTTGCTGAAGCTCAAACGTGCTGCGTAACACGAGAATGAACCTCATTGGTTCTTGCTGAAGCTCAAACGTGCAGCGTAACACGAGAATGAACCTCATTGGTTCTTGTGGAAGCTCAAACGTGCAGCGTAACACGAGAATGAACCTCATTGGTTCTTGTGGAAGCTCAAACGTGCTGCGTAACACGAGAATGAACCTCATTGGTTCTTGTGGAAGCTCAAACGTGCTGCGTAACACGAGAATGAACCTCATTGGTTCTTGCTGAAGCTCAAACGTGCTGCGTAACACGAGAATGAACCTCATTGGTTCTTGTGGAAGCTCAAATGTGCTGCATAACACGAGAATGAACCTCATCGTTTCTCCCACGTCAAGGGAACAGGCTTGAGCTTCCATTTACCACAACTCATGTGCGAGTTGATGAATGTTTATGTGAATTAAAGCCTAAATTAAATCTCTTCATCATAAAAAGTGATCAAGTCTCTTCATATAATTTGGACTAAACCGCACAATTCATATGGATTAGTTTTACAATCTCTTTATGAACTTTTTGAAGCATCACAGTGCTAGTTGCATAGCTGTCGATTGAGGGATAGAAAGCTCTCAGATTTAATTTAAAACATGTTTAATCTTACACTATCCAATTGGCACAAATTGAGAACTACTGGTATACACTAAAAATTTCAAAGACGGCAGATTTGGGGAATAAAGCAACTCATGAACTGACCAGTAAGAGGAGCACCATGGAAGGCCTGTGGTCCAGGAAATCCTTCCTGAAGTCCTTCTGCAGGATAATTATCTCTGTACATCCTATATGAGGATGCTGTCGCTTCAGGGGAATTAAGGCGCAGGTCATGAACCTCATTCTGTGTGAGACGGAAAACAAAACATGATATTACAAACCCTAAAATATGAAACTTGCCTGAACCAATTTCACAAAGAGCTGCTGACCAGTTTCACATGGCTGAATTTAAAGCCACTAGAAAAATCATCAAAAACTAATTTCTACAACAACACTTGCTTACAGCATTTATTAGAAAGGACCGCATAGATGAAACAGGAAACAATGGGGAGCACAGAGAAGGGAACAGGGAAGACAAACGACTTCGAGCCGGGTCTTAAAGTTGGGTTGTCTGAGGCACAGCTGCACTATAAATACCAGACGGGCACTTATATACACTTAATACTCAGGAATATTATTTATTTGGCTGCACTGACACTATTGGATGAGAGCTGAACTGTAGGTGAGATTTGTTTAAAATATGATTCATTCTTAATTGTGGGAGATTTCAATGTGCATGTGTGTTGTTCTTCCAATGCACTGGCAAAAGACTTTTTGGATATGATTGACTCTTTTAACCTCACACAACATGTCTCTGGATCCACTCATGTTCATGGACATACTTTGGACTTAATATTAACTCATGGTCTCTCTGTTGGGAATGTTAAAATTCATAATCTGGCTCTTTCTGATCATTTGCCTGTTACTTGTACTATAAAGCTCCCTTGTGTCATTCGTAATACCTCATTACCAAGTCGCCAGGTCCGGAACTTAAATGCAGTCACTATTGAGCAGTTTAAGGATGCATTTGTTGAATCTGATATTAATCTTAATTTGGAGAGCCCTTTGTATTTAGATGTGAATGTGTCACTTGATAATTTTAATTCTGTATGTTCTTCTATCCTAAATTCAATTGCTCCTCTGAGGGTTAAGAGCGTTAAGACCAAACCAGAACCTTGGCTGAACGAGGGTACTCGGGGCCTAAGGCGCGCTTGTAGAAAAGCTGAGCGTAGGTGGAAGAGGGACAAGTTACAGGTATCATATGATATACTGCGTGAGTCTTTAACTGCCTATCAGGATGTAGTTAAGTCATCTAAGAGAAAATATTTTGCTGATTTAATCTTAAGGTATCATAACACTCCTAATATTTTATTCAATACTATCAATTCAGTGCTAAATCCTACTACTACATGTCCTACTATGTCCACCATTACATGTGAAGATCTGCTCAGATTCTTTGTACAGAAAACTAATGACATTAGAACACAAGTTGTATCTTGTTCATATGATTTCACAGTTCCTTCTTGTTTCTCCTCTGCTGTGTTTGATCGATTTTTACCTATTTCTTTTGTTTCTCTGACTGAGCTAGTTGGGCAGTTGAAACCTACTAATTGTGGCAGTGATGTTATTCCATCTAGATTAGTTAAGCATGCTTTTGATATTATTGGACCCAGTATTTTGACTATAATCAATAGAAGTTTCCAAACTGCAGTAGTCCCAATGGACTTTAAGCATGCTGTTGTACAGCCTCTTTTGAAAAAAATGAATTTGGACCCAAATGTCTTATCTAATTATAGGCCTATTTCGAAACTACCATTTTTATCCAAACTTCTTGAAAAAGTCGCATTAAACCAACTGCAGACTTTTCTAGATCAAAATGAGACTTTTGAAAAATTTCAGTCGGGATTTAGATCGAACCATAGTACAGAGACGGCTTTGTTGAAAGTTCTAAATGATATTTTCATTGCAATTGATTCTGGTAGCTCTGTAGTTTTAGTCTTGCTGGATATTAGTTCAGCGTTTGATACTATTGATCATAATATCCTAGTCTCCCGCCTGGAACAAAACGTGGGAATTAAGGGCATGGCACTAGATTGGTTCAGATCCTATTTGTCTAATAGGACGTTTTCTGTTAATTTTGGTCAACATCAATCAAAAGTGGCCCCACTGTCTAGTGGGGTTCCCCAAGGATCTATTCTGGGCCCAATTTTGTTTTTGTTATATATGCTACCCTTAGGTTCTATTTTTCTTAAGCATGGAGTATCCTTTCATTGTTACGCGGATGATACTCAGGTGTATTTACCATTGCGGAAACAGGACAAAAAATATTTCGAGTCACTAATTAGATGTTTACAAGAAGTTAAATCTTGGATGTCAGATAATTTTCTGCATCTGAATGAAAGTAAAACAGAAGTATTTTGGTTCGGGACTCATGATACAAAAAATTATTTTGACATGGGCGAGCTAACCCCTTTTTGTAAATATACAGTGAAAAACCTTGGTGTCCAATTTGACAGTTCTTTGAAATTTGACAAACAGATTAATTCTGTAGTAAAATCTTGCTTTTTTCATTTAAGATCAATAGCAAAGGTGAAACCGTTTTTGTCCACAAGTGATTTTGAGAAGATTATTCATGCTTTTATCTCTGTACGATTGGATTACTGTAACTCGTTGTATGTAGGTGTCAGCCAAGTACTGTTGAATCGCCTTCAATTGGTCATGAATGCGTCTGCTAGACTTTTAACAGGGACTCGTAAAAAGCAGCATGTGACTCCGATTTTAGCCTCACTTAATTGGTTGCCAGTGCAGTTCAGAATTGATTTTAAATTATTGATATTTGTATATAAAGCATTACATAATTTAGCCCCACCATATCTTGAGCATCTCCTTCATATGCATAAACCTTCTAGGTCTCTCAGATCAGCAAATCAGATGATCCTAGACATTCCAAGGACTAGATTAAAATTGAGTGGTGATCGGGCTTTCGCAGTGGCAGCTCCAAAGCGCTGGAATAATTTACCTTTACACCTTAGACTTGCTCCCTCTCGAAGTTATTTTAAACGAAATTTAAAATTGCATTTACTAGAATTAGCGTTTGGATCAGTAGGTTAACTTGGTAGGTTATTTGGAGGCTCTTTACAGATATTTGTTAGTTGTTGTATTGTCTGAAAACACATTTTATTATGTAATTTTATTGTGTGTTTTGTACAGCACATTGGTCAACACCATGTTGTTTTAATTGTGCTTTATAAATAAATAAATGAACTGAAATGAACTCAGCTGGACGATGACATCACTGCTTTCTGCAGAGATGCTTTATAGATGAATTGAACTAATTTCATAATTAGAGGTGGGCATAGATTAATTTTTTTAATCTAGATTCATCTAGATTAAAATGGCTCATTTGAATTCTCCCAAAGGCATTCAGAATATGTGTGCTACCCAAATAATGACTAAAAGTAAGTCTTTGAGAATAGTTTGCCTCGCGTAGGGATGTGCATTTCTGCCAAAAATGCCATTCGACAATCGAGGAGCAAAAGTCGAATATCGTTAAAAAAAAAACCCAAAAAAACCCCCGCAATGATAGAAAGGGAGGCCAATTTCATCTTTAGCGATTTGTCATCAAACAAACTGTTTATTAATTGAACAAGTAACATGTTTTCGTCCTTTTTTTTAACATAGTAGGCTAATTGGAAGAAGAAAAACAATACGCACGACAGTCGTTTTTGCATCGCCAATGCTCGTTAGATCAAAAAATAATGTCATCATATGTCATAAGAATTTTATGTGAACCTGCCTTGTTACTGCAATAGCCTCATTTTTAAACAAATTAGTTTCAATCAATGTAAACTATTCATGTGATTATGCCACTGCGCAATACACGCGCAATACACACACAATGTATTACCTGAATGAAATGAAATCGAATGTATCGTCCTGTGGAATCATTCATTCACAGACAGCTTACGAAGATGTTCAACTAATAAAGATCTTCATCGCTGGCAAAAATATGATGCATTTGCAGATTTGCATTCACTAGACTAGACTGTAGATCGGCCACTTCATCCAACGCTCTTGATGCTCTTAAATCTTCCTGTTTCGACTCCGAGTGTGAATTGAAAGCGCTTCAGACGATTCAGTGCGCGAGGAACTGAACAGATCAACTGATTCGCGAACCGATTTAGACAGATCATCTGACAACTTGTTTGATGAAGTCTTTGAACAGAATCGACTCAAAAGAGTGATTCATTTGTAAATGAGCATCGCTCATGCCCATACAAAGGACACAGCGCGCTTGGAATAAACTCATTTAACAACGTATTGCATTAAAATAAAGTAACGAGAGGAACGTCGCCCAACGTAACAAAGTAAAAGTACACCTTGTGTCCCTGACAGGAAAATACCCTGCTGCGCGATCTGTGACAGTAGGCGCGGCGTCATTACACAATAGAATTGCGCGAAAATATAACGATATTCGAAAAAGCTATTTATGATCCCAACCCAACTTTGATTAACGGCGATATTTTTTTTATCGCCCGATAAGAGTCTCACGTTAACGCAGCACGTTAACGCCGATAACGGCCCAGCACTATTCATAATTGATGCACTTTCAGTTATTGAACTGAACCAACACTGAACTGATTTAATCTCAATAATGAATGTGTACTTAATTCTTCTTAAAGCTGCTTTACAGTAGAATTTAATTCTGTTTGCATCTTTGATCATTATTTTTATGTTTATCACTGTAAAGCAGCTTTGAAACAATACATATTGTATAAAGTGCAAAATAAATAAAGATGACTTGACTGATTCTCATTCTGACTTTGCAGATACACAGAGCACAAGTAAAAACCATTAATAAAACCTCAAAATAATGTTCACAGAATAGAAGGCAAACTCCCATTTGTCAGTGGCAAAGCAAAAGCAAACACAAACTGATTATGCTACAAGCGGTGGATGTGCGACTGACCTTCAAGGACTCGACCTGCTGGCACAGCATCTGCAGGAGGGACTTTTGGTCCTCGGCCCAGAGAGGAGTCGTTTTGGGCGAGAACTGGAGAAGGGAACAATAGTCAGGAACCGCAACGCTATGTAAACAGCAAACAAAGCTTCTTTAGAAGCACCAGTGCCATGACATACCATGGATCTTTTAGATGGAGACGTGGCACTTTTGGATGGAGACGGAGACGGAGTGGAGAACTTCACATGTTGCTCAGTGGGCTGACCGGGGCTGGACGTCAGCGGATAGTCCACATGATCTTCATCCCGCTCGTCATCTTCTGCAAGCTGCTGGTTGACCTCGTTCAGCATATCCATCACATCCTCCATAGACACAGGCAACTTAAAACATGAAGAGACAGATTTAAAGGACTAGTTCATTCAAAACACAAGCTTTCCAGCAATCCTGAAGACCTTGATTAACTTCTTCAGGTGTGTTTGTTTAATGCTAGAGCTGAACTCTGCAGGACAGTGGCCCTTCCAGGGTCAGATTTGAGGAACCCTGGAGTAAAGTGAGCAGCACAAACATCAGAGGTGTTTAACATACCTTGTCCATGTCTTCTGGACTGGCCTGATAAATCTTTGTCAGGTATTTCCTGAACTGCAGGAGGAAGTTGGTGCACCTGCCCTGCGTCTCCTCCATCCCGTTTCCCGCCTCCTCCGACAGCCTCTGATAGATCTGCCCATCAACACACATCCACAAACTCATCAGGTCAGGGTCATTCACAGACCGATAATAATCACTTTACTTCTGATGCTGAACCGGTGTGACTGACGTTCAGAGAAAGCGATGTTACCTTAGCAAGATGCCAGTTAGACGAGGTGCTGTTGAGCTTCTCCAGCTTTGCGATAGCCTCGTCGGTGTTGCCCTCGATGTCAAGCAGTGTGGCAGAGCTTATGGCGGCCTCTTCCTCATATACTCGCACTTGAGAAGGCTGAAGACAAAGAGACCATTAGAGACTCCCATACCAACCATATGAATCAGAAACAGGAAGAGAGTACATACCTGTATGTCTATACTGTGAAAGTGCATGAACATCGGCTCCAGAGGTTCAGGAATACTGCGTTTGTTTCGGATTTTCTCAAGCAAGGGAAGCACAACTTTCCAGTAGTGCACACTGCGGCCTGCATAGTCCTTCTGATCATAGTAAGAGTTCACCCGTTCCCCCTGTCAAACACACACGTTGATGTCAGGACACACCTGCTCAGTCTGTACGAGTAATAATAGTCAAGTCAAGTCAAGTCACATTTATTTATATAGCGCTTTTCACAATACAGATTGCATCAAAGCAGCTTCACAGTGATAACATGAAAGTAGTACAACACAGTTCAATAATATTGTTGAATATTAAATATCCCCAACTAAGCAAGCCAAAAGCAAGGCGACAGTGGCATTTTATTAAAATAATAAAATTATTATTTTAATAATAAAATAATAATTCGTAACATTTAGCAGTACTGGTACTACTTGATTATCAGTGCTGCATTTGACACTGTCGATCACAACATACTTCTTGACAGGCTGGAAAACTGGGTGGGGCTTTCTGGGATAGTCCTAAAATGGTTCAGGTTAGGGTTAGGTCTGGTTCAGCATTCATATTACAGAATGCTGCTGCCAGGATTCTGAGCAGGACCAGAAAATATGAACATATCACACCAGTCCTCAGGTCTTTACACTGGCTCCCAGTTACATTTAGGATTGATTTTAAAGTATTATTACTGGTATATAAATCATTCAATGGGCTAGGACCTTAATATTGCAGATATGCTCACTGAATATAAACCTAACAGATCACTCAGATCATTAGGATCATATCAGCTAGAAATACCAAGGGTTCACTCTAAGCATGGAGAGTCTGCTTTTAGCTATTATGCCAGCCGCAGCTGGAACCAGCTTCCAGAGGAGATCAGATGTGCTCCTACAGTAGTCACATTCAAATCCAGACTCAAAACACATCTGTTTAGCTATGCATTTACTGAATGAGCACTGTGCCACTGTTCGTCCGACTGTTTTTACTGTATTTTATTTTTTATTCTAAACCGTTTTAATTCTCATTTCTTTTGATTATTTTAATTTATTCTATGTAAAGCACTTTGAATTACCATTGTGTATGAAATGATCTATATAAATAAACTTGCCTTGCCTACATTTATATAGCGCTTTTCTGGGTACTCAAAGCGCTTTACATGGAAGGGAGAATCTCCTCAACCACCACCAATGTGCAGCTCCACCTGGAAGAACGCCCACCACACACCAGCTTATTGGTGGAGAGGAGACAGTGATGAAGCCAATCAGTATATGGTGATAATTAGAAAGCCATGGTGGACAGAGGCCAAGGGGCAAATTTGGCCAGGATACCAGGGTTACACCCCTACTCTTTTTCGAAGGACATCCTGGCATTTTCAATGACCACAGAGAGTCAGGACCTTGGTTTAACGTCTCATCTGAAGGACGGTGCTCTTTGACAGTATAGTGTCCCCGTCACTTTACTGGGGCGTCAGGGCCCAAACAGACCACAGGGTAAGTGCCCCCTGCTGGCCTCACTAACACCTCTACCAGCAGCAACCTGATTTTCTCAGGAGGTCTCCCATCCAGGTACTGACCAGGCTCAGCCCTGCTTAGCTTCAGTTGGCAACCAGTCTTATAATAATAATAATAATAATTTAATAATTCATCACATTTATATAGCGCTTTTCTAGGCACTCAAAGCGCTTCACATGGAAGGGGGAATCTCCTCAACCACCACCAAGTAGTCTTGGGCTACAGGGTGTTATGGCTGCTGACAATATCAGGATAAGTACCCTCATAAATGAAAAAATAAATACTATAGAAGTCAAAGGGGTACCGTTTTTGCTAGGAGTGCGGTAGCCCCTAAGGCCTTGTTTACACTTGCAGGTCTTGATGCCCAATTCAGATTTTTTGCCAATGTCCATATTTTTTCACCGTTCGTTTACACGTTCTTTCAATTGTGACCCATATCCGATTAATGCGTTTACACTTGGCATATCTGAAATATCACGCATTCTTAAAGGGGATTCTTGCACAGATGGACGAACGCGAAATATGCTTGGTTCTAGCTCTGTGTTATGTCCAAAGTTACTCTGTGCCCTGTTTTGCAGGTATCCTGGAAGCTCCTCCCATCATTTCCCCAATTCCCTGGGTCTGTTGGCCAGCCTTTAAAAGCTCCAGTTTAGTTCCATCCACTCTCTCTCGCACACCCTGCAGCCGGGAGCAGCAGCAGCCACCATTGTTCTTTGTTTAACTTTGTTTGTAATAAACCTTTGGTCATAATAGACATTTGTGACTCCTCTATGTTGCCTCCCTTGAGCCGGGGTCGTAACATATTGGGGGCTCGTCCGGGATATCGCATCCGGAGTTTTTGTTGTTTTTTCCCCCTAGATTGTGTTATTTGGTGTTAGTTTGTAGTGTGCTGTTCGATGCTAGCTGTAGGCTGCTGTGTTTCTCCCTCCTGATGAGCATTTGGTGAGTATAGTGTCTGAGTGCCGTTGACTTGGAATATTCTGTGATCTCCCTGGTAAGTTAGAGAGTGTGCTAGCTGGGCAGAGAAATCTGTCCTTCCATCTGTGCACTCATTTGTTGTTTTTGCCTTTTTTTATTTTTGAGATAATCCTGGGTGGAGACATTTTTCTCTGGTGGGGGCAAGCATTTCAGGTCCTTGGCCAAATGGCTGAGGTTCACTGAAGTTTAGCTTTTAAAGATGCCTCGAGCCCAGCACGTCTCAGAAGATACTTAGGTTACAGTGTAAGTTAGGCAGGTACCAGGGGGTTTGCTTTAAGTGTTGTCAGTGCACTCAGGGGCTTGCTTGCTGTGCTCATCAGGGGGTGGTTTTGATAAGTTAGGCGAGTTAAAGGTGCTCTAGTTTACGGGTACCATTGTGGTAATGTGTCCATGATCCTAGCTTTGTGTGTTATGCAGCTTTTGTCATCAAGTGATTGTGCAACTTGACTGTGTAGGCTAGTTCTCCCCGAGTTAGTTGTTGCCTTAGTTATTGATTATCAGCAAGTTCCATTTTGGTAGTGGTATTTGTTTTTGGGTAATTCAAACAAATACCATTTGTGCTACAAATGGTATTGTTCTGTGCTACATTAGTAGTTTGATGGGTTGGTTCTAGTCCTACTTTTGTGATTATGGTTTTGATAGCCATTAGGTAGGAGAGCGTTGGTGATTTAGCTGTTTTTGTAATATTGGACACTTTGTGCTGTGTATGGTGCGCATTGGTTTCATGTTGAAACTTTCTGTAAAGGCTTCAGGTGCAGTCTTGTTCAGATGTAAGAAAGATATCGAGTTTGGCAACACTTGATGACTTTGTAAGTGCACCTTCAGAGGAGTTACTTGAGCAACTTCCTAAAGATCAGCTTCTAAAGCTTGCCAGTCAATATGACATTGAGATCACAAGTCGTGAGAAATGTTTAAAAGAGAATATTAAGGAGTCTATTAAGATTATCCTAATAGAGCATGGTATCCTTAGGTCTGCGTCTCCACTGACAGCTCAAAAGAATATACCATCTCAAATGTCACAGAGTGCTGTTGAGTTGAGGTTGAAAGAACTGGCTCTACAAGAACTGCAATTAGAAGAAAAGCAGAAGGAGAGAGAACTAAGAGAGAAGCAAGTGCATTTAGAACATGAACGTTTCCTTAAAGATCTGGAATTCAAGCATGCTTCTCTAGTGAGCTCTCCTAAAGTTGAGTCAGCTGGGTTTGATGCAGTTAGAAACATTTGATAGTTTCCCCCTTTTGTGGAGAAAGATGTTGAAAAATACTTTCCTCATTTTGAACGTGTGGCTACAATTTCAAAGTAGCCTGAGCATTTCTGGACGTTACTTTTGCAGAGTGTTTTGGTGGGAAAAGCACAGGAAGCTTACTCGGCTTTAAGCCTTGAGGAAAGCAAGGACTATGAGATCGCTAAAGGTGCCATATTGAGAGCCTATGAGCTAGTTTCCTGAGGCTTACCACCAACGCTTTAGAAGTCTTAGTAAGCTTGACAGACAAATGTATGTTGAGTTTGCTAAAGAAAAGGAGACCCTTTTTGGTAGATGGTTTAAGTCCCTGAAAGTAGAAACGAAGGAAGATCTTCGCCAATTAGTTTTGCTTGAGGAATTTAAAAATTGTTTGCCAGATGTTGTTTGTACATATGTAAATGAACAAAAAGTGACCACTATCTGTAAAGCTGCTGTGTTGGCAGATCAGTTTATGTTGACGCACAAGCTTGATTTTGATTAAGGACAGGGTGAGCAAAAGGGTGGCGTTGTGTTTCATAGAACTCGCACTTTGAAGCACATTCCCACAGTTTCTGCCCCCTTTGCCAGAAAGTCGGCCATAGGAAATGTTGCTTCCGACATGGCATGTTTCTATTGCAAGAAACCTGGTTATCTTATTGCCGACTGTCCTGTCTTGAACAAGAAACATAAATCTGTTAAGCCTGTAGCCTTAATAAAAACACCCTCTTCACTTTTGAGTGTGCCCCCACTCAGCGTAATACCACCATCATCAAGTTTGCGGATGATACAACAGTCATCGGCCTGATCACTGGTGGGGCCGAGACAGACTATAGGGAGGAGGTGGCTCAGCTGGTGTCCTGGTGCCACACAAATAATCTCTCCTTAGATGCAGAGAAAACTAAGGATTATCGACTCGAGGAGGAGGAGAGATGATCAGCACGGCCCACTTTACATCGGTGAAGCACAGGTAGAGAGGGTGAAAACATTTAAATTCCTCGGCACCCACATCAGTGAGGACCTCTCCTGGTCTCACAACACCCAGCACATTGTCAGTAAGTCTCAACAACGGCTGTACTTTCTAAGAAAGCTGAGGAAATTTGGTCTGTCCACCAAACTCCTTAGCAATTTCTATAGATGTACAGTGGAGAGCATCCTGACTAATTCCATCACAGTGTGGTTTGGAAACTGCACAGTACAGGAAAGGAAAGCTCTCAAGCGTGTAATTAAAACTGCACAATACATCTGTGGAAGAGCTTTTCCATCACTTCAGGAAATTTACAAAACCCGGGTAACCAAGAGGGCACATAACATTATCAGGACACTACACACCCTCAGCATATACTGTTCACATTGTTACCTTCTGGCAGACGCTATAGGAGCATGAAAGCCAGAACATCCAGACTTAAAAAACATTTTTATCCACAGGCTATCAGGCTGTTGAATGACTCAATCCTTTGACAACTCCATACTCGCACTTTAATCACTGTTTGTACTACACTGTGAATGTTTGCATTGTTCAATGTATATGCTTTTTATGATGCTTTTAATGTTTCTCTGCCGAATGCAATTCTACACTTGCATCTTTTAAATATATTGTGTGTATATTGTGTACATTTTATATTGTGGGAAACTTTTGCAACTTAAGAATTTCATTGCATGGTGTAAATCTGTGCATATGACAAATAAACATCTTGAATCTTGAACACGGCTGCTATTCCAGTTACCAGCGAGCATCCAATTCGAAAGCCAGAGCTGGTTGGCTCTTCATCTTTCCTTATGGATGGCTTTGTCTCTCGTTTCAGATCCTACAGCTAAGCGACCTATTAAGATCTGGAGAGACTCTGGAGCTCTTTGACTCTTTGTCCTCATATTCCTATTGAAGGTGTGTCTTTCATTTTAGGCAATGACCTGGCTGGTGGTAGTGCTTGCTGCTCCTGAGGTGGTTCCTTTCCCAGTAGCATCTAAAAGCCCAGATGAACTTGAAAAGCAATTTCCAGATACGTTCTTTGCCATAGCACAAATATTAACACAAAGAAAAACCAAGCCAAAACCTCTGACTCAGAGATTGCGCTGTCTGACACCTTCATGGTAAACTGTGAGACATTAGGGTTTGGCACAGTTTTCCCCTCTCGTGAAGAGCTAAAATAGGAACAAGCAAAAGATACAACTTTGGTTTCCCTCTTTGAAGAGGCTGTTTCTAAAGATGCAGTTACTGCGGTTTCTTGTGGGTACTTTATGAATGATGGCTTGTTAATGAGAAAGTGGACTTCTCCTAAGATGTCTTGCTATGACAAGTGGAGTAGTGTGTTTCAGGTTGTCGTTCCTAAGGCTTATCGCTCTGGTGTCATGCAACTGGCTCATGATCATTGTCCGATCATCCGATCGCGGTTGTATCTCTCTATTAGTGTTACTTGATCTTAGTGCTGCATTTGATACTATTGACCACAACATTCTTTTAAATAAACTCGAAAATTATGTTGGCATTAGTGGAATTGCATTAGCATGGTTTAAATCATACTTATCTGACCGTTATCAGTTTGTAGCAGTAAATGAAGAGATGTCTTATCGATCACAAGTTCAGTATGGCGTACTACAAGGCTCAGAACTAGGACCGTTGCTGTTCACTCTGTACATGCTACCATTAGGAGATATCATTAGGAAACATGGAATTAGTTTTCACTGTTATGCTGATGATACTCAGCTGTATATTTCTTCAAAACCTAACGAAACTTACCAATTCACAAAATTAACGGAATAAATAGGTGATATAAAAAAAATTGGATGACTAGTACCTCTGAAAAAACAGAGATTCTAATTATTGGACAAAAAACTTGCACACGTAATAACCTAGAATACTGTCTAACACTTGATGGCTGCTCTGTCAAGTCTTCATTGTCGGTTAGGAACCTTGGTGTGCTCTTTGATACCAATCTTTCATTTGAAAGTCACGTGTCTAGTATCTGTAAAACTGCATTTTTCCATCTTAAAAAAATATATCTAAATTACGCCATATGCAGAACAATTAGTTCATGCGTTCATGACATCAAGACTAGATTATTGTAATGATCTACTGGGTGGTTGCCCTGCACGCTTAATAAACAAACTCCAGCTAGTTCAAAACGCAGCAGCTCGAGTTCTTACCAGAACCAGGAAATATGACCATATTAGCCCGGTTCTGTCAACACTGCATTGGCTCCCTAGTAAACATCGTATACATTTTTAAATATTGTTGATTACTTACAAAGCACTAAATGGTTTAGCTCCGCAGTACTTGAGCGAGCTCTTAACGCATTATAGTCCTTCACGCCTATTGCGATCTCAAAATTCTGGCCAGTTGATAATACCTAGAATATCAAAATCGACTGCTGGCGGTAGATCCTTTTCCTATTTAGCACCAAAACTCTGCTTCCCGGACAATGGTAGGAAGACTGTTCCAGACACACTGTCAGTTCAAAGCTAGACTAAAAACACATCTCTTTGACCTAGCATACACAATACATTTTAGACTTCTATAATTCAATATTAGGCTGCATAGATTAGGTCAGCCGGAACTGGGAACACTTCCCTTAAATCCAGATGTACTCGTTACATCATAAGAAGAATGGGAATCTACGCTAATTTTAGTGTCTTTGTGTCAAACTGTTGGTAAGCCTAACCAGAAAATTCCACTTGCGCCTTTACATCCCATTCCAGTTATTGGAGAGCCCTTTGAGCGAATCTTGATTGACTGTGTTGGTCCTCTCCCTCGCACTAAATCAGGTAACCAGTATGGTTGTATGTCCTGTGTGTTCTCCCAGGTGCTGCAGCAGTCTCTTCAACACTGCATTTCTTCTGCCTACCATCCAGAGTCTCAGGGAGCCCTAGAGAGGTTTCACCAGACTCTAAAGTCAATGTTGCGAGCATACTGTAGAGAGTGTGAAAGAGATTTGGATGAGGGAACCCCTTTACTCCTCTTTACGGCTAGAGAAGTGACCCAAGAGTCCCTTGGTTTGAGTCCTGGCTGAACTGGTGTTTG